ATAAGCATTTGTGATGTGATATTTAGGGGATGGTATTCAAGCTTAAACCTATTCTGTTCGATTCACTGTTGTCCGTGTTCTGAAGGGTTGTTGATGGAACAAGACAACGCTGTCAGTATTAATACCAAAATTAGAGCCCATTCCTATCAACCACTCATACTTACCCACATGACAAGGTGTCTGTTTCGTAACAAGAGGAACTGGTCAAGATCACAAAGCCTGAATGTTTATCTGCTCAGCTTGTGCCCTCAATGGTGAGGCAGGCCCAGGGCTAGAGCTAATTTTTCATTGTCGGTTCCTCTGTCGATTCCTCTGTTGGTTCCGCTGTTGGTCCACTTGCTGCTAATGATGGGCCATTATAGTCGCTACAATACTGTGTGATACTCACCTGTGTCTAGAAAGCGCACTTCCCCAACATGGACCCACTCAGTTGATAGTGCTAACACCAGGTGCCACGTGTAGTAGTAGTTGGGTGCTGCTCCATCTCCTCTCAGAGGAACATGGACTGTCGATAAAGAGGTACATGAAGTAACTGACTGAATAGTGTAGTTTGCTATTTTGATGGAGTTAGCTGTTAGCACCAACTCTGCGAAAGTATCTGCAAAGACAGTTACAGATAGAGCACCGATGTCCCATTGTGGACAGAGAAACAAGTCCAACTCAATGGCAGTCAGCGAGACTGCTGGGGTGAAATCAAATGAGAGTAGCACATGATTAGAGGCCACTAGTTCTGAAGGTTCATTCTTTCTCACAGTGACCAACCGAGCTGCCCAGTTAGCATTTCCAGTTTGAATGTCAGGTGAGATATTGTCAACTAAGTAACTAACTCTGCCACCACCTTCCATTGAGTATATGCCACAGTACGACACTCCAAATTGTTGTATGGGTATTGTGCATCCCATAGAAATGTCAGATCCATTGATTGGCTCGATTCCTTCTGGCACTACCTGCAGTGGTAGTTGTACCACGCAACCTGCACAGGGCGAAGTTTTCTGCACTCTTTCAAACAGTTTACATATGATTACTCTCACCTCCAAGTAATGCACAGTGACAAAGGAATATGAACAGGAGTCTCCACAGGCACACAGACTCCATGACTTGGTCTTGACAGCTGTGTTTGTGCAAACTGGTTGAGCTGTGAAACACATCTGAATGGCTACTACGTAGGAGCAGGAAATGTCCATATGAGATGTCAGTTAGAACCCTTTCTGCAGATATAGCTACTACTATAATGGCCATATGCTCAGTGGTTACTACAGATGATGGCCATATAATGCTCAGTGGTCATTGCATCATTTACAAGCTTCAGCAATTTACACAATGCACATTAGACTTGCATTTTACTTGTACTGCAGAAGAAGCTCAATTTTTGAGACCTATAGCTGCCTAGCGCAATTCTTCTCATTAGAGGGCTATGATAGCCACTTTGGATGCATGACTTCTCTGTGCTAGCACTTATTGCTCATAAACTTTATGTATGTAGCTAAAATAGACTATAGCAAACTAGAAACTCCTAATCAGTCATTGTCTACCTTATAGTAGTAGCTGAAGACCATCCATGGTTGGAGCAGTATGTTATGCAACTGGTATAGCTCAGGTAGTATAAGCGTTCTTCTTAGACTGAAGATTGTCATGGGTTCAAGGCAAGCTCCCCATGATGGGGTTAGGGAAGTGCTTGGGAAGATCCTCCTTGGCTGCATGCAAATATTGAGTGAGTTGAGTGAACAAGAGACTTGCTGAGTAAATTCTATAGCAAGGCAAAGTACCTCCAAGGTATTAAAAATCAAGGGAGAAAAAGTGAGAAAGTCCATAGAAAAGGACCCGTGAAAGAAATACAATTTCCCCAGCATCACACCAAGAAAAAAGAAGTGAAATAGTCCACCTATGTAATATATACACGCACCCAATGCCTGGACCAGATGTAGTAGAGTAATGCCGTCAGTCATGTCTAATCCGAGATCAGTCACGAGCTGCTCGCTGTATCCCGCGCCTCCCAGCTGCTGGTTCACCCACTTCGTCGCCTCCTGCAACCAAAACAGCCCGACAGGTAAGATGAGGTTCGAGCTAATTGTGATTGCTCTCTCACGGAGATTTCTTCCTGGATGCGGTCTCCGCTGGTGGACGGGTTGATGTTCTTGCGGGGCGCGGTGTAGAGAGGGGAGCCGTGGGCTTCTTCGTACAGACTGGACCGGAGCCTCGCGTCCATGTCTAGTCTCTCTCGCTGCAGCTGCATTTCGAGAAACGAGCCCCACCCCTTTTTGGTAAAGAGCGCGCGAAATTCGCATGGAGCTAGCGAAAAGTATAGCAAAGTCGTTGAACCTTTATACTAGATACACATACCTAACTGATTGTAGCTCCACTATAGCGCACTGTGGCGGGCTCTGAACTGCGTCTCTGCGGCAGGCAAAAGACACACTGTTGGTGGGTGCGTTTCTTCCGTGAGCGTGCGTATGCGCATGCGCATTGGTTTTACGCCTGAACTCTGAACCCATGATGGCCTCCCGTTGCTCGAGACTTCTTCTCCGGTCTGTGTGGAAACAGCAGCTCTCGCTGAGCCAAGCAGGTCTAGATATAACGAACACACACCTGGGCTCTTTCGTCAGACACCGCCGTCCTGTTGCAAGCCTTCATCTCGCACCCCCACGCGCGCATTCGAGATCACTCCATTCCTCGTCACTCCAGTCCAAGGATGAGGTTTCGGAGGAAGGAAACACTTTCTACGAGAAATACAGCGACAAACTGGGCAAAATTAAAGGGTTAGTGTGTTGAAAGGTATATTATCAGCTCTGTATTTCTATTGGTGTTGTGTTGTGGTGGCAGGCTAAAGAGAAGGCAGACGGAAGCCAAGATCAAGGCAGCTCGTCTGCAGGAGAAGAGCCGTGTGACGGCCTTTGTACCTCCCTCCCGTCCCTCGTCTAACTCACAGTACTCTCTCCTACAACCTCCCGTAAGATCTCCTGCATTCTAAATCACTTTCTACCTTATTGTATGACTCTACATAGTAGGAGTTTTACGCAGTGGCAAATAATTCTCTTTGCAGAGTTTGGATTCTGTCATGTATACTGAGAAGATAGCAGAGATGAGCAAAGAAGACATTGGCACGGTAAAATATAAACCTCTTTTACAAACTAATCACACTCTTATCCTCTCGGCATAGATTGTTTGACTAAGTGACCGTAGTCGGTTATAAATATACGTATGTTCTCATTCTGTTAGATATGGAAGGAGCATCACAAAGACAAAGATTCCATCTGTGCCATCATTCCTGTCAGTAGGTCACAGTTTTGGAGTCTGCACAAGCTTCATAATTTCCTCCATATCTAGGCCGAGAAGTACAAGGAGCTCCTGACTAAGGCTATCCATTTCCCTTACGTAAGACAATCAGTATTATGATATTTTTTGTGATGCTCTGTCTGTCTGCCTCAAGTTTGTCTATCCGTTGTCTCGAGACGAGGGCTACGAGTTCATTTTTGGCCAGTTTTCTGGCCATCGATGTCACTTCACTAGCGTACTTCCGCCTATTATCGCCACACTTTGGTCCATATGCGTTATTACGCGGACGTTCACCGCCGAACTTGCGCAGTTTTCCTGCAGAACTGAGCCCCACCCCCTACGTAGCTAGTCTGTAAGCGCCCTAGTAATTCTAAGGAGAGTCGTTGCTACTACCATGTAATAGCGTAGCGCCACCAGCGTTTGGCGATAATGGCCCCCGGCGCGTATTATCGCCTATGCATTATAATAGTGCTAATCTCTGAAAAAACAGACTGTGGTGATGGGAATATCAGAGCACAATGTTGGAAAAACATCGCATATCTCATGAACATAAAGAAATTCAGTGTGACTGACAGCATTCTTCACACACAAACTGTCGTGTAGCCGTGTTGCTGCCCAGGGCACAGTATGTGTGAGCCCACTCGCCGCAGCGGTCGCAGTCAACCCAAAACACCTTACTGGAGGCAATAGGAGGCTCCCTTGAGTTGCACAAAAGGCATACAGTGTCACTGCCCTCACTCTCTGAAGTGCTCTCTCCATATCTCTCTGGAGCACGTACTGGACGTGTACGGCGGCTCTTTGGTTGGTGGAGGTCGATCTCTTGTTCGTCTTCACCTGAAGAATACTGCAGGGGACGCTTACCCTTTCCCTTCCCTCTACCCTTCTTCTCCCCACGCTCCACTTTCTTCCTCTCTCGTTCTTTTTCCTTCTCCATCTTCTTGCGCTCTCTCTCTTCCTTTCGTCGCTGTTTCATCTCTGATGCTTCCTTTTTCTTTCTGTCTTTCTCCCTTATCATCTCAACATACTCATTTGATGTGAGCACCCGGACCCCAGTGATACGACGAGAAGGACGTTTGTCTCTTTCATCAGTTTGGGGAGAAAGAAATATGTCGGCCAGATCTTGCGGAACAAGCCCAACTCTAACTAGAGGATTCTCAATCTGTGGTCTGCAACGAGGAGTCGTGTTATGCTGATTCTGGGAGGAATTTTGAGAACCAGCAGACCCAGATGCCACAGGAGTAGAGGTTAGGCGACCTGACAAGACTTGGGGAGAGCTATACCCATCATCAGCATGAGATGAAAGGGATGAGACGATTGGCGAGGGGTTCACACTTGGTACTTGTGATTCCTCAGATGTTGATAACGCAGACGTGTTCAGACTATTGCCTGCACCTACAACCGACCCTGAGGAAACCCCTGCACTAGAAGATTCATCTGTTGATGAAGAGGAACTGAAAGACGGCAAAATCTTGCTCTGGTCTATGGCATTAGGGTTGAAAGGATGTATGCCACACTTTGCAAATCCAGCCTTGATGTTCGACATGGAAAACGCTTTTTCGAAGGGCGTTTTGACCACACGAGCAAACTCACGCTTTGACACAACAAAATCCTTCTTTGCGAACGACAAAGCATGGACAGCTTTGCTAAAATGTGACTTTAACGACTTGAAAACAGATACATCCAAGGGTTGAAGAGCGTGCGTCGTGTGGGGGGGAAGACAGAAGAGTATAATTTGATTCTCACGTGCTAAATCGATGACGTCAATCGTGATGTGGCTAGCATGTCCATCAACAAACAACAGCACTGGACGCTGTGAGCCACAATACCTGAGAAATATTTTCTTCATCCAGACCATGAAAAGTTCACTGTCAATCCACCCACTCTCGCTCTTAGCGTACACTACGTCATCAGGACCATCAAACCTGTATGCACCCCCTGGAAAAGACTTTGAGAAGATAATCATTGGTGGCAAGGCTACTCCGGCAGCGGAGGCACCACAGAGGAGGGTGATGTGTTCAGATGTGCCTCTCGACTGAGCATAGACGTGCTTGGTGTTCTTCCGGGCGATCACCTTTTCACATGACATGTTGAGGGGCAGGAAGGTTTCGTCGCAGTTGAACAGTTGTCTTGGTGAATTGACGAGGTCATTCTCCTCAAGTGTGCACTTGAGAGTCTCAAAATAGCCGTCAACAACCTCCTTTGTCAATGCATTTGCTCGGCTACGTTCAAGATTATCTGCCGTACGAAGCGTCAGCTCCGGATGTCTCGCACGGAAGTTGCTCCACCAGTGCTTCCCTGGGCCCGTCTCCTCATTAAAACGATCACTGGTACCGGAACGCAAAGACACCGCCCATGCGAAACCTCGAGCCATGTTTGACGTGAGAGGGAAGCCACGCTCAGCCATGTAGAGGAGATAGGAGGCCAAAGCATCCTCTTCTCTGGCCGTCAGGACAGTAGAGGGACCTGGATTGCTGCCGTGGATTACACGGCCCCTAATCCTGTCGTCAAGGGTCTTTCGTGGGACGGAGTGCTGTTTTGCTGCAGCACTCACCGTCTTTTTCTCTTGCTGCACAGCTCTCATGGCCGCCTCCATATCTTCCGGGTTCCATTGACGTCTCTTGACCTTATTTTGCCCATCATCAGTCATTCTGCATGGTATAGCGCCGGAAAAGGGACCAATAATAGAGAATAGCTAGTACCGTTAGTTTATGTAGGTAGCTACCGTAATATGGCCCTTAGATCTCTTTTTTCACGCACACTACGCTGTCGCCCACAAACGGATAAGTAAGCTCTAAGTTAAAAATTACCTTGTCCGCTCTAGATGGCTCTTCGAGCCGTTGTCCAACGTCTTCCCAGGTTGAACCGGGTATCAAAAAAGAGCACGTGTCCAGCTCTATCCAATGCGCATGCGTCGGAATGGGTAGCTCCTTTAATTTTCCCGTTACAGCGCGAATGGCGATATTTTGGTCCCGCGCGGAGGTGGCGATAATAGGGGGTTGTACGCTAGTCTCATTAACTACCAGCAGTATCAAGAGAACGCTCCTGTAGCTCTGACACTCACACACTATACTGACCTACAGGAGTCTAAGGGTGAGGGCACCGTTCATTTATATTATAGCAGAGAGATTTTTGTCTTATACTGTACCTAAATATTAGCTCTGCTATTTAGTGTATCCATGCATACTTCAGCAAAATTATTATAATCAAAAAATACTTTAAAAACCTGATAATTTGTTTCTTTCAGGTATAGTGCTAATGTCAGGAGAAGTTGATACAGCTCATCTGGTGAGACTGACACTCTGTGTGTACATTAAAACCTCTGAAAAATGACCCTCTGAATAAAGGACAGCTCTCTATAAAGGACACTTTGTTTCTGCCGCATAATACTAGGGGCGCCTCTGAATATAGGGCAGTTCAGAAGTGCCCAATGTGCCCTATATTCAGAGGGTCCACTGTAATGCATAATAGTTCCTCTTCACTACTTCCTCTGAATAGGTGACACCTCCAAATAAACGTATTGTCCCCAAGGTGTCCCTTATTCAGAGGAGAGGTTCCACTGTAATTCAGGGATTATTTTGTCTTCTCCTCAGACGTCATTTGAGGCGCAGTACCTGGCCAACCAGGTCCAGCTGTACTACAATTCCCAGGACGCCGAACGCTGCACTCTACTGCGACAGTTTAACCACGATCCAGAGAAATTTGACTACCGCCTGCTCCTGGAGCAACTGGCCAACAGCAGTGTAGCTAGAGCCCAGCAGACTACGTCTCAGAGTGCTCTTACAACATCGAGAATTGGTGTGTGATTGATTATAACAAGAACTGTGACAGGTCTCAATTGGCGAGAAAGTAGAGCCTACTTATATAGTCATCTCAATGCACGGTTTTTCAATGAACTTTACACACTCACATAACGAGAAAGAATTAATTTAGCTATCTACAAAACCAGGTCTACAATATGGTAGCAAAAAGTCTACTAGAGTGAGGCAGGCCAGCTTTACTCGTGAGAAGAGGCAATTTGCTGTGCCAATTGTAGGAGTAAAGTGATGATGTGTGGGGCTATAGCTGGGAAGGTGGAATATCAGAAGGACAGGACGTGAGAAGCTTGGGTTTGTGGTTGTTGAAGTGTGGGATGGAGCTATACTATATAGCTGGGTTGGGATGGAGCTATATATTATATAGCTGAGTGGGGTGGAGCTAGCTGGGTTGGGATGGAGCTAGCTGGGTGGGGAAGAGAAGAGGTGAGAGGCGAGAGAGACAGACGGAGGAACAAAGACATCTTTACAACACTCCAGTAACATCAGACTCATGCCATCTTTGTACAGTGCTAGATGAAATGAAGAGAAGGAGGTGGGAGGAAGGGGGAGAGGTAGAAAGGAAAAAGAGGAAGGCAGGGGAAGGGATTAAGGCAAGTAAGAAGAGAGTGTGCATTAATAATAGTGTGCATGAAGTATATATATACTCACTGGTTGAAGTTAATCCCAAATACTGACACAAGCCATGCACCAGAAGCCTATAGAACCTGTGATTAGAGCAAATCTATATACTCAATAGTTACTTGTCCAGTAAAGGGAAACAGAAAATAGCCATCTGTGAACGCATGGATAAGGGATCCCAATATTTTCTCCACAAATATTTTGTATTTTCACTTTTACTGTAAATTATGTTGGTATTTTCATTTTACTTATGCGCGTCTTACGTGTCATGATGAATGGCAACCACCAAGGTGCAGTGGTCTGTCATGAAATACTCTGTTAGCTCTGCCTCAACCGCTCGCAGAAACTCCTGCAATTACGACATCATTTCCGATAGAAATGACATCACTCCCGGCTCACGTGTGGAAGGTGCTTGTTGTGCTTGAGCATGACTCGTATGTGTCGGTCAATGATACTGTAGCGATCTTCAACACTGCCCCCTTTCCTACTGACCCCCTTACCCCCCTGGATTGGAGGACTCCTCCAACTACCCCCCAATATTGCCCCCTGTTCCTCTTCTGGAAATGAAGTAAACTCTTGCCATACCTGAATAAAACAGCAGAAGATTATACAGTCGGCTATGAAATCTTAATAAGTAACCAACTTAGCCATACATACTATAGCTAGGGACTGGAAAAACAGTGGAATCCCTCTAATCTGGACACTAATGGGACAAAAGAAAGTGTCCATATTAGCGAGCTGTCATTATCATTTCAGGGGATAAATTAGATGCATGAACTGTGCTTGAGAGGGGGTAGTCAGGCAGACCTGCATAGAGCTTTGGTCTGTGTGGAGTTTGGTAAAGGAAGAGCAGTGCTCAGGAAGAATGGAGTAACCCTTCTTTATCTCCTCCTCCGGCAGTTGGTGCAGAGTGCTAATAAACACAGCTGATTAGTGGGAGAGGTCTGTTTACGTGGTGCGCGCTAAATAGAACGGCAGCTCACAGTTTTCCCATCTCCTGCTGTGCTTGTTTCCCCGGGCTCTCTGTCCGTCTCTCTTGCGTAAGAGGTGGGAGTGAGGCCTCGGGTAGCGCGGCGGTGCTCGGATCTTGGACCGGCCCACACGCTCCTGCTCGGCAGGTGCGCCCGAGTCCTCTCCTTCTTCCTCGCTCTCCCAGTTGCTATGCTCGCTCTCTGCAGACGACTCGGAGAAATAGTCCGAGACGTAGTCGCTAATGAGGCCAAGATTGCGGGCTCGCTGCCCTCCCCAAGCCATGATCGATACCTACCACAACAAGGGGTAAACCCCTGACAACTTTAAACCGCAACTTCTCCAATTAGTGCCCAGGTGTCGACAAGGAGGGAGGATAAAGCATGCCTTCTCCCCGCAGTCGCTCAGTTACCAGCTACGGTCAGGGAAACGCTGACGAGTGGGGGTCTTGGTGGTTCGTGTCTCCATTCATGGCGCTCACAGCGTTGCTCTGGCGGCTCTGGAAATGGCTATCTCGTCTCTTCACCGGCAAATCCGAGGTGCAGCGTTTGGCCGAAGCCAAGGAGGCTCTAGAGACTAGGACACTTAAAATAGGTAAAGACGTCGCCAGCACCTCTGTACGTTGTGTATAATTCGTGCATTTCTCGCTCTTACCTATGCAGAAAACAGCATAAAAAACTCCAGAAACAAGGTTAGTGCATACAGTAGCCAACTTTTCCACGCTTCAGATGATTTTATTGAGCTTGAGTGTGTGTGTGTGACTGATTGTGTCTTCAGATTGTTAGATCCATAGCCTCTGACAGCTCCGTGAGCGTTGAACAAGCCGTGGAGATTCTGGTGAAAGAGAAGGGACTCAAGGGAGAACCCAGGTGTATATACAGGGTCTGTGTGTTGATTGTCTCTGTTACTACTAACTGGTTGTGACTAGACTGGAGCTGTCTGCCAGCATATGGCGACATCTTTAGCTGAAAGGTCTCGTTAGTTAACGCTTCAGTCCATCATCCAAACCTCAAAGGACCTCCAGAAAGTGATTTGAAAAGAGAGAACAGCTTCCCAAAACCTCAAATTATTCCCTGTTTTGTTTCAAGTTCTCCTTCATTTTCGTTTCCTCCCCCCTCCTCTCTCTTTCTCCCCTCCCCCTCTCATCCTCTAGTGTGATGGAGAGTCTGCGGTTGAGCTTGGTGCGGATCCACTCGCTCACTTTGCTCTGGGAGGAGCTAGACTCACTGGCTCTGCAACCTTTCTCGCCAGAGAGCCAGGCAAGAACTATACTACATAATGTACAATACAGCTCTCTTGTTCTCTCTCTTAATGCCTATAATGAGAACATCTCTAGTAGCTCACTACTGCTCACTCCTTTCCCTTCATGTCCATAGTAAACTGCAGTGGTTCCCGCTACTATACATCATGTATCTCACTCGCTCTCCTTTCCTGTCTATAGTAGTTCACGGCAGTCTCATCATGTCCATTTGACACTGTGTTGTTAAACATACTCTCCCTTCACCTGGTGGATAGTGGTACATGGTTGCATAATTATAGTGGATTGAAGCTATTTCGGCTGCTAGCCCCCTCAGTGGTGCTGATCACTCAACAGTATGGAAGCCTTATATACACAGCTATTAGCTTAGCTTAGGTAACTGTTGCAGAAGCCTCAACCTACAGAGCGTTTGTTGAAGAACCCCAAATGTCAACCAATCTCCTACTCTTATTACTATTGATGTGGTATACGCCCCCTTTATTTGTATGCCTTGTAGTTCAGACGTATCGTCTCTCTCCGAAAATGACAGGGTTTGTTACTACATTTTGTTTGCCAAGGTTGAAAATTGGAGCGCCTTTTTCCAAGTCAACATCACTACAGTTCAGGTTACCCCATACCCCAGATTGCCAAGTTTTAAAGCCAACTCCCCTACCCACAATGTAACAAACAACACAATCTGTACACTATAATTATGGCAAGGAATCACCTTTGCAAAGGTAAAATATGTGGACACGCAATTTTTTGCGTATGGTAAAACGTAAAATTTTACATGGGCACAATATTTACGTACAGCTTTTATGTAGGTTCAAGCAGGGTCATACACACGTAAAATTATACGTGGAGACACATTTTTTTATCGCATACAAATTTTGAGGATCAAGCAGGGTTCACTCGCTAATAACCCGTTGGATTCAATATAGCGATACTTCGTGAGTCTAGTAGAGTTGAAGTGGGTATATACATATATATCCCACCCTCTTACTCATCCCGTGGGTGTATATATTAGGAACATGAGAGAACGCTGCAGGAACTCTGGGACCATCTGATGCCCGGTTCACAGCTGGAGGCGAGACACACCAAACAGTGGCAGGACATTGGGTTCCAGGGAAAAGACCCGGCGATGCTCCGACTCTTCAGGAGGAATGGGATAGTGTTGGGGCGGTACTGTCTCAAGTACACAACCTTTATCTACGCAATTACTCTACCTTACGCTCTCTCTTTCCATACCTTCTCTTCGCATGAATCTTAAACTCGGTTACGGAAGTTGTATTCTGTAATGTGGTCTTTAACGTTTGTTTATTACGGAGCAGTTTCAAAGTCGACAGATGTGCTATTCAATTGGCAAAGTATCACTTTCAACGTTAATGTGTATGCTCCTTAACCTCATCCTCCCTCTCTCCATCAACTTCCTCTCCTCCCAAACCTCATCAAGAAGGCAAGAAAGAGTATGAAACGAAATGGAAGAGTAAGAAATAAAAAACAGGGAAGGGGAAAAAAAGACAAAAGGAGGGCGACTTTAAAAGCTCGCTTCCTAGTTTTCAGGATATTCTCCCCTTTACCTCCCCGGAATCTACATTGCACCTTTATTTTGCTCGCTTTCTCTCTCTGGCCTATCCTTTTTCTGCTCTCCCCCCTCTCATCGTGCACACTTCCTAAATCTTTCCCGGCTTCCCCCTCGTTTCCCTGCAGTACCCCTTACTCTCCCTTCCCGTTGAGCCTTCTTCCCTCTTCGTCTGCACCTCTCGACTCCTTTATTCTTCTATCTCGTTGTTCTGTTTAACTCGGTTCTCCGGCCGTCCTCTGCCCTGCTCCTGCTCCCTCCCTCTATCCCTCCGTCCCTTCTCTGGCCGCTCTTCCTTCTCGAACTGCTTGACTCTCTTGCTGCCCGTTCGGACCTTCTGTCTCTTTCAGTTTCAGTTCTCTCTCACTCTCACCACCCACAGCACCAGTGAGTTCTGCCCTACCAGTGACCCACCTCACTGCGTTCTCTGCACACCTCGATCTCTCCCTACTTACTTTTTTCGTTTTGTTGTTGGTGTGGTTTTTTTGGGTGGGGGGGGGGGGTTTTTTTGTTTGGGGTGGGTGTGTTTTTTGGTGGTGATTTGGAGGAGTTAGTGACCAATCCTGGATTGTATATAGCAGGAGAGGCAAATCACCCTAAATGGAAACACCCCTTTTCTAAATATCTGCAGCTATCCTTATGCGGTGGTGGGTATACACGTGATAGAGATGATCCACGGTTGGTTGCGTGACTCGCGACTACACAGCTACCTCTACACCACCTGCACAGACTGGCCACCCGCCACAGAAGAACTGATGGAAATGTACTGTAAGTCCATGTACTCTAACACCACTTGCAATTGAGCTATAGAAAACGCACCACGAAACCTCTGGCCTTTACTGCATGTAATTGATAAACCCTTGGCGCCAAAAAACGACAATTATTTCAGAAACCTTTGCAGGGCTTTTGTGCGTGGTAAATAAACCCTTGCCGTCAACCCTCACATCCTTTCTTCAGTATAGCCCTGTTTTATGGTAGAATTTGCACCATCAAGAGGAGGACTTAAGGATTTTTGTTGATCTTTATCGGTCCACAGGTTACCTGTTTTACCAGTTTGACCAGTTCTGGGAGCAGAAGAAGCCGGAGAACGTGATGGCCTTTGTACCCATCAAAGAAGAGTTCAAGAAACTGTACGAGGAGCAGCTGGCACAAACTCCGCCCACAATCATTATGAGACTGTAACAAGTTTTTTAATTATTTTCCGACTCCATTGTAATAGGTTTTATTTATAAAAATTCATAAAAATAGCATGTGACATAACGCTGATTAAAGAAAAAAAATAAACTGATGATATCATGTGACACTGAAAGATCAGGTGATGTGTCACATGACATTCATGCAATCCTATACTTGACATAGGAATCCCAGACCGTGAAGATGTGTTTCTCTTCGTCCTCTTCTCCCTCCATCCCCTCCACCCTCTCTCGTCCGAAGACGACCACCTGCTCGGTTGCCACGGACACCAGTGAGGAGACGTGACAGTAGCGACGGTGGACGAGAAGAACCTCGCCAGAAATGGGGTCAAAGGTCATCACGTGCCCGCCTTCGGTGGATGCCCACACGGCTTCCCCACCGGAGACCAAGTCTGTGATGATTGCCTCGTGAGATGAGCATCCTCCCAGAATTAGACTGAATGAGGAAGAGGGGGGACAAACCATTAGAACTCCCATTACCCAGCTACTATACTGGGGGGAGGAGGGATATGTCACAATATTACGTAACTGTAAGTCCCTAAACAGAGAGTGGGGGACTGTAAGAGTGGGTTAAGGACCATAACACCCCAACACAGAGAGTGGGTTAAGTATAAGGATCAAAAACTCACTGGCAGTCAATAGGCTGGGAGCTCTGTGTCTCACAACTGGTATCAAACATAACCAGCTCCGCTCGCCCAACAAAGGATGCCCACAGCTGCCCGAGGGCACACACTAAATGAGAGATGCTTGTCTCCACCACGTCCTTCAGTAGAGGTTTATAACTCGTCATGCTGTAGTCTTGTGCATCCAGCCCCACTAGATATCTTCCACATCCACACCAAATGATTCTCTTGTGATGCACTCCACACGATATCTTTGTCTTTTCAGGACTCGCGTTCACCATCATCTGGGTGATGAATGGTTGCGTTTCCAATAAATGCCTCCCTCGCCCCGGAGGAGAGAAGACTGCGATTCTCGCTGCACTCATCCCCACTATGACCTTTGAACCCCGAGAAGTCTCCTGGGGGATGATGCAGAGGGGAACCCCGGGTAATAAAACGGGGGAGATGTGGCCGGAAGTGAGGGTGGGGAGTTTCAGCGAGAAGATGAGGTTGCTGACAGAGGAGACCCATGAGCACCTCACCACCCACGATGGCACAGCAGGTAATCTTCTGACCCTGGTAGGGGAGGGGCTTGTGATGATACAGCCACGCCCCCGGGATAACGAGCATCGCTTCCTCCTCCCCATCACTGCTGCTCCTTTCGGTCATCGCGACAATGTGGTTCTCCTGGCTGCAGTACCCGGCCCAAGAAACGGGGGTGGGGATGAAAAACCGAGCCTGTCGTAGTCCACCCGGGCACACCAGTAGACGACTCGCAATCCCGTGTGCCGACGGCCGATTTGCCGGGTTTCTTGCCAGCACTGCTCCAGGCAGACGGCATTGACTACAGATGTGAGTGACCTGAGGAGTCTATGTTTCTCCGTGCGGCCGGATGCTTTCCGCTCGTCTTCTCAAAGACGTGCTGGAGGGTAGGGTCGGAGGATCGCGGACGGTTTTCTTCGATGGATTTGGCGAGGGCGTGACTGAGGAGAGGGAGGTCGGAGTGGTAGATCATTTGGAGCTGGTCGCGTCGACTGAGGACACCGGCAAACAGCCGTCGGCCGGTCACGATCAGGTGGAGGAGGAGAGCAAATGAGAAGATGTCCACCTGTGAAGCCATTGAAAAATTAAAAGATTGACACACTTCAAAAATAAAAAGTGGTATCATCAGCCAGCGAAGCCAACTTCCATAATTCATGACTCGGAAATGAAACCGCATTCATTCCAGTAGATGGCCACAAAACATGCTCCCTACGCACATCACTCGAACAGTGTGGAACCTCTCTTCGCCAGACACCAATGGGACAGAAAAAAGTGTCTGTATTCCTTTATGCAAGAAACTGCTCTTGGGGAAAGAAAATGTGTCCTTAATTTCAGGGGTGCCTTTAGAGAGGGGTTCGACTGTAACACATCCAAATTAGCGACACTACTGTATATAGATCTATATTAGCGACACTACTAAGGTAGAGACCTTTTCATCGTAAGCAGAGTTGCGACTTCCCCTGAGTTCAGGAGCCATGTACTCTTCAGTTCCTCTCTGTCTCCACAGACCCGAGGGTGTCGAGAACTGTGAGACACCGTAGTCGGCTAGTCTGACATCCACCCCTGGTGAGCCGGGGAGGGAGGGAGAGGGAGGGGGGAGATGGAGAAGAGGAGAGAAGGGGACGGAAAGCGTAGAGGAGGACAAGGAGGGAAAGAGAGGGAAAAGAGGAAGAAGTGGCGAGAGGGGGAGGGTAACAGGTGCTTAAAAATACGAATAACCAAACTTCTAAGTTTCAAATATCCTCCGGAATGACAGGCTTGGATCTGTGCATTATACGAGGTTCGAATGCACAGTACATATATACCGTATCGTGAAATAGCTACGTTGTACCACACTGTTATATACCTCTGTCAGGATCAAGAGACCAGACCAAGATATTGCCAGGTTTGATGTCTCTGTGAATGATGTACAGGGAATGGAGGTAGCTAATACCATCGGCTATCTGCAGAATAAAACACCCGACGTACATGATGTACAGTATGCTCAAAGGTTTTCCGCTATCAACAAATGTTGATGATTGCAGGAAAAAATTTTGACATTTTTTCATTTTTCCTTTTTTTGTTATTTGTGTAGTGTACTGGCCTTCCAGCCACCATGTCTGAGTTGGACTCTCGACAGAATGGTTCTTTTTTTTCCTCATTGTCTGAGTATACCCTTGTCAACGCTGGGTCAGAGGAAATTTCGTCTGACCTGATAGAGGGTCCGGTGGGCCATCGTGTGGCTCAGTCCCAGGGGGCAAAGGTCGAGGTGATTAGTGAGGGACCCCTGGGGAGCGAGGTCCATCACCAAACAGAGGGGTCGCAGGCTGACCCCCATCAGCTTCACAACCCTGGGGACCCAAAAGATTATCCATTACGATGACGCTTATTTCCACTCAATATACTTGAGCATTTGCAATCACATGTGGTATTGAGTGTGGCTTATTAAAGTGATCCTACAGTACTCAGTCATGTATTGCCTATAGAAATTGCTATTCATTGGCTTGTTGTTGTTGTTGTTGTTATTGTTGTTTACCTGGGGTGGTCGAGGTGACTCAAAATGGTGACCTCTTCTCGGAGGCTCTTGTACTGTCTGGAGAGAGATTCTGAGCTCTGATATTTCCTGAACAGCTTTACCGCCACGGGATGACTGTCGTATGTCCCCTTCACCACCTTAGCCCAGAGAGAGGAAGAGGAGGAGAAGGAGAGGGAGGTAGGCGAGATAGGGATATCAGGCAGCAACATAAGCAAGATAGGAATAAGGACATCGAGAAAGGAAAGAAAAGGGATGGGAGCAGCGAGATAAGGCGAGATAAGGAATAGAACAGCGAGATAGGGATAAGGAAAGCAAGATAGGGATTGGGACAGCAAGATAGAGGCAACATGTTGTTGCCTTCTACCACCAAAGCAACTCAAACCTGTACATGCACGTCACCCACCTTTCCAAAGCTTCCTTCTCCCAGCAGCGACCCTCTCCCCTCGGAGTAGAGCAACCGCCGCGAACTGATCAACAATTTGTCCGAGAAATCCACCAGCAAAACGTGGGGACCGATGTCCCTCAGCGCCACCGGTTTCTCGCATATGGAGCACTGAGCGTAGTTCCTGTGTGACGATTTTTCCACGAGGGACGAGAGGGAGTACAGAATGATGCTGTTGTCGAGGACGGCACACGGGATTTCCTCGATTATTTCCCCGGCGGCGTTCATAGTCGTGAGCGTCTTTTCGTCGCCCTCGTCTGTCGGGGACAGCGAACGCTCGAGTTTGAGAGTCGAGCCGGAAAAACTCTTGGCCATGGTGACGTGGTCGCTGCTGCTGTTGCGTCGATTGAACGACGCCGTTTCTTTGAACTCGTTCAGAGAGAGTGACGTTACTTCGGTCGAGAGTTCGAAGTCGCTCTTGGCGAATGTGGGGAGGAAAAAATCGGTTCCACTTGTAGAGTCGGAGTTTTGTTGGTTTCGCGACCAGTAGCGAGAGAGACAGGAGGGACACGGACTGTAGTAGACGAGTCTCACTCCTGGGTAGAGCTCTTCCATGAGCATGTCCAGGCAGGCAGAGAGGAACGTGATGACTTTCACCCTCTGTACCAGGCCACCCTGCGCCACCATGGCCACTGCACCTTCGCATGCCTCCAACCAAAACCTAGTCCCGCAGGGAAACTCCACGTGTAGACCCCTTTGCCACACAACGTTCTCTGCGAGCTCGAGAGCATTCCGGCTTTCTCCTCCTTCTTCTTCTGTTTCCTCTTCTTCTTCTTCTTCCTCGTGCTCTTGGGTGTCAGCTACATTCTCCCTCTCGCCCACTGTACATGAACCGTTTGACCTACTATGAAGCTCTTCTCCGTGTGAGATTGGTCCTCGGGAAAGGGTGGCCAATTTTTCCATAATCGTCTGGTGCCTACTGGGCCAAGTTGCGAGATTGGTGGTGGAAAGCGCCCAAATCTTTTCCCGCAGTCGATTCTCGGAGGTGGCTCCACAAGCTGTTTCATCATCTTCCGTGACGTATCCTTGTCCGTCGAGCCGGTGGATGGTATTGTACCTAGCACCGTGCTGCTTCATTACGGCGTTGCCCGGACGATTGGGGGTAACGAGAGGGGATTTCCCCACGGCCAGCAGCTGCCCCGAGAGCATTCCGATACAGACTATCACGCGTGCCAGAAGTCGGGGGAAAAATCCGCTCGGGAGGTAGTCCAGGTAAGCATACTGCATGAGGTAACCCTCGGTTTCCTCTGAGAAATCGTACGAAGGATACTCAGGAGGTGGGTCTGGACTCAAAACGGAAGGGATCAAAAGGTGACCCTTTTCCATGTCGAGAGGAACTACGACACTGTTCTCTTCGAGAAGGCCCAGAAACTGGCTGTATAAGTGAGGAGGTATGTTGGCCTTTTGGAAGGAAAATGGGAGGTTTGAGCAAGGAATGACGGCGTTGCGGCAGTAGGATTTGAGGTGAGAGAGGATGATGCCCAGGGTGTTGAAGAGCCACTGGGGACTCAGAAAGTAGAGTTCGCTCGCCCCCGCTACATGGGGTCTGTAGTGAACTATGGTGCCCGCCTCGTGAAGAAACTGTACCGCCAGAGAGAACTCTTCCTCGTCTTGTTCCAGGTCGTCGTGATGGAGGGTGAGCGAGCGAACGTGGTCAATGAACTCCTCGCGACGCAGAACGGGGACCTGCTGACCCTTCCGCTGGAAACCTCTCAGTTTTACCTCCACCAGTGTCTGCAGCTCCTGGTAAGACCTCGGGACCATCTCTTCAACCAGGGGTGTGTGCGTTCTCGGGTGTTTGAGACGCAGAGCGATGCGATATACGTTCTCCATCAGTTTCTCCACGTCTCGCTTGCTCTGGCAGTTCATGACCACCGAGTCGCTCACCACCGGCAAACCTGAGTTTCGCGGGTATGCGTCTTGCCCTCTGTTTCCAAAAACTTCCCTCTCCCATTGGGAGATGGTCGCTCGACTCAGCCCCGGGCGCTGGTCAATGTGACTACCAATTACCACAACCGAGGAGCCGGGAGCCGACGCTTGAATGCTCCTCAGGCAAGGCCCGAGCGAGCGCAGAGACTCGACCCCTCTCGCCGCGTCCCAGAGGCACAGGAAGAGGGTGCGGTGGGTGAGAAAGCACTGATGGAAACACTGGAACACCTCCTCGCTCGCAAAATCGATCAGATGGAAGGTGATTTTCGGTCGGAACTTGTGCGATTTCCTCCCGCCTTCCTCCCTCCCCGCGCCGCGGTATTCGAGGGTTGCAAGCTCCATGAAAGTCTTGGAGAGATGAGGAGAGGAAGAAGTCAGTGGATGCGACTTCAACTTGGCCAACTGCGAGAAAAGAGTTGTCTTCGCTGTCCCATTGGCTCCGACGAGGACGAGTTTAAGATGACGATAGGGGGAAGACCCCCTCAATTGGCAGCGTAGATAAGCCATTATACCTCTAGTCCCGCTGTTAGCAACCTCTCTCGCCGGTGGTGACACTAACTGGTGGATGTCTAGCTTTAGAATGCAGAGGTTTCGGCAGTGAGCGAGGTAGGGAGTGAGGGAGGTGAGTTTTGGAAGGTTCTTGAGCTCGAGGAGGGTGAGGTGGGGTAAGATGCAGACCCACTCCGGGATCTGGGTGAGAGTCGCGTTGCTACTCAGGTTGACCCAGTTGAGGGAATGAATGCAGGGGTAGAGATTGTACCCCGTCAATTGTTGGAGTCTGCGGGCCTCGTCGAAATGCGCCTGCTGATCGGCCCGACCAGGAACACCTGCGTCAGACATGCCAGGGTCGCTCCTGTTCCGTGGACGGTTCAGAATGCAGTATTTCGTATCCACAAGTCGGTTGAACGAGAGGTTAAGCTCACGGAGGTACGGGCAGTTCCATTTCAGGATATCTGGTACGGAACCGAGACAGTTGTGAGAGACGTTCAAGCCCTTGAGTGTCGACATTCTAAACATTTCGTCCGGCACCTCCAACAGGAGGTTGTTACTCAGGTCTATGTGGGTGAAGTTTCCGTTCTGGAACCAAGACACGGGAATGGAGAACAGGGCTAGCCCACTCTTGACGAAGTGATCGTGGGAGTGCCCCTGCGGTCGGAACCTGTTAATGAGATCGAGGGAGACTAGGGCGTGCGTCCTTGTCATTCTGACGATGGTGGAGAGGAAGATGGTGGGGTCTAGATTGTGGAGGTAGTCGGCGACTTGGAGGAGTTTGGGAGTGAGCGGTGAGTGAGGCGACTGGTTCTGGAGGCTGGACATGACGCAGATGAGCCAGCTGACAGTGTCGTTCTCCTCCACGCGACCAGCGAGCAGTTGGAGGACTTGCAGCTGCCCCTGGGAACAGGCTGTGGCAATCAGCTGGAAGGGAGGGAGAGAGAACTTATTTCATGTTCTAATGCGTCATACGTAAATATTCAAGCACAAACGCAACTAATAAGAATGTTGCCCACGCTTCATGCACATTAACTCAATGATAAATTAATGTTATAAGCTCTGATTTTTTACTTACTACCTCACATACTAGTGATTTGTGGTCCTCCTTCAGCAGATCCATCACAGGAGTGATGATAACGTGCTCCAGTAACCGTTGGTCTGTCCCATTTTGAAATCGGACGGCCCAGAATTTGCACGGAATTTGGACTTTGTCGCTCAGAAACTGCGGCAGCTGCATGAGAGCGATGTCATGGTGAAACGAGTGGGTGAAAATTACACACACAGAAGGGGGTGTCCTTAAAGAGTGGTTCAACTGTTTTCACAACAGTGAACATGTAGCCGAAGAGCGATAATAATAACAGATCAGCATTTGTGAAAATTGTGTGTCTGCAAAACTAATCCCCTAAGAAGTTCACAACACACTCGGAGACCAGAGAAGGGAAATCCCACACCCGCCTCCACAAACACCACTGCTTGGGGCAGGTTTCAAGAAGTCTCTTCCTTCAAAAGAGGACTTTCCATACCATATCAAGTGACCATTATCAGAATTCTCAACGTTTGAACTACGCCACCACTTCCCCTCTCACCCCCCTCCCTCCCTCCCTCCTGCTGAGGCGAATGTCTATCTATAAAACAGTTTTATATACCTGCGACGGCTCAGAGTGTCGTGGGAGGAAGCCATCCTCAAAGTGGTTCTCCAGAACAGAGACTTTCGGAGAAATCGCCTCGTAATAGGTGTCCAGTTTCCGAAGACATTTCAGTGCGTACTGAATGCTTTCCTGTGTGTTTCAATGTTATGTAATGTGTCACTATTAATATGTATCGATACATGTATGTATCACTGAGTTACGAAAGGAAGTGTTAGTGACACCCATGATAATACACTTTCCAGAGAAGAAGAAAGCCCTGGGTGGGATTCAAACCCACGACAATCTGCTGCATGCATTCTAGGCAGAGCGTTTTTTTCCTAGGGTAGCTCATAAGCACTGGTCAAATCTCGAATTTTTACAAAAAGTCTTTGATTAGCGAGTGGTTCATGATGTGTGCGAGCCTACCTGGCTGTCAGAACGGTAGATTACTAGGAAGGCGTGGTCGGTTATGCCATCAGTCGTAACAGTCGTGGGCAGTTGAGTTGAGTCCAAGTCAACACCACCCTCCTCAATTAGAGAAAAAGATAGATGTAGACGTACCGTCCCCAAAAAATACATGAAAACAAAGTACTCTTGTATACATGATGTGTATAAAAGTACAGAAACGTGTCTGCAACGAATACAAAATTTTTGGATCAACAACCACTACTTACACTACTATAGCCTCTGTGCACGTATTATTTTGTGTGGGCTGCTGCACATGTCAAAACAACAGCAAAAACAGGCAACAGAGTGGGTGCATACACGCTATACACGCTAATGTATTATTGTATGTCTCTTGCATTGGAGTCATTATGAAGTCAGGCATTCCTTGCTAAGTACATACATACACCAAGGGACGGTCAGAAGAAAGTGCCCTTATGCTCAGATTGCATGCAGAACTGTTCTTGGGGGAAAGAAAAGGTGTCCTTATGCTCAGATTGCATGCAGAACTGTTCTTGGGGGAAAGAAAAGGTGTCCTTGTTATAAACGTGTTCTCGTTTCAGCGGACGTCCTTAGATAGCGGCGGTTCCACTGTATCTAAGGAAAGGCTGTGCTCTAAAGCCACACACACAAGGTGCATAGCTTGCTTACACGGGCCATTGAGTTGCAACGTTTTTCATCATTCATTGTGCTGAGTGGTGTTCATCTGCAATTCATTCTCAGGAGACCTGCTTGCTCAACGATCCGACACTGCTATTTTCTGCCCAATTTTCTGCTGGCCTCTACCAAAATTTTGCTAGTTCCTGCCAATTTTTTTGCTGACTCTTCACTGCTTAGCAACCACACACATGGACACACACATACATATATACACCTGCTTCAGTCACTTTTCTCCACCCCTTCAAACTCTCTCACAATCCCTTTCTCCTACAAAATACAGTGGAACCCCTCCCTAAAGACACCCGTGATGTAAGGACACCTCTCTGATAAGGACACTTTGTTTCCCCAAGAACAGTTCTTCCCCTTTATTAATTCCCTTGCAAACTCTCTCCTACTCCCTTTCTCCTAGTGGAACCCCTCTCTTGATGTAAGGACACCTCTCTGATAAGGACACTTAAGAACATTTCTTGCAACCCCAGAAATAAGATAATTTGGTCCTATTAGTGTCATAATTACAGGAGTTCCACCGCAGTCTGTAATTTACCGAAATCGATATTTCAACGTCGGCAATCTCTGCGAGTGGCTGAGAGTGGGAGCTACCAAGCCACTGGCCCTTGAAGGTGGTCTTTCCAGACCCACGGCTACCAAAGACGTGAAGACAGAGGTGGGGTCTGTTGGGAGAGGGGAACAGGGGGAGGGAAGAAAAGGGTTTCAGATTGCCTGAAGCGGCATTGGATCAAAACCTGTCCGAGGCAGTTGCTGCTATACAGACACTGCTGAAATTCATCAAAAACTGTAAACCCTCATCTCCGATAATGGGCCTCAATATGTTTGCTCAGTTGTGCTGACAATACCACAGCCTAATGCCAGACACGCCCTCACGTAATGTATACTTTCTATTATGAACTGTGAACATGCAAGGTATGCTGTAACTACAACCTTCAGCTTCAAGTAACAAAATTCTCCAGCAGATTAAGCCCATATTACACCATAAGCATAAAGGTATTGTGACTCTCCCATTGTCATTCCACTGGCTCAGAAGCCAAACAAATGGTATATCTGGAGCCCCCGCCCGCTAGACATCTAACAAAAGGTGCAAACACACGACACGCGACCTGTGGGCGTGCGGCTCCATCTCCAGCTCCGCGGCAGCTGAAAACATCCGGCTGAAGGAAAAACACTTGGGCCGGTGGCTCTGGAGAAAAAACAAACACTAAACGTACCCAGCTGCACGGTGGGCCGGTATACCTATACAACAAACTCGAGCATACACAGACGGCTGGTCCGAATCTGGCGCCTTTACCTCTTCTACGAGGAATCAGGGTACTTCCTCGTTCGACGATCCACCCCAGCGAGAAGAAACAGCGACGCAACAGGGGCCATGGAGCGCAGAGAAACGAGTGGGCAGTGGATGGACGGCACGATGAACTCCGCCCTCTTTTGCGAGAGTGCTGATTCAGCACTCTCGACACAGCTGAGCTCAACTTGGGACTGTGAGCAAGCCAAAATGCTGGAGAGCTCTGTGAAGACATGTTCAACTGATGCCCGAGACGCTGCTTCCGTGGACGCAGTGATGACTAGGCTTCGAGGAGACGCCGGGAGAATGGGACTGGAGGTGCACCCGTACAAGATGGGCTGGTACAATGCCAAGGTCGAGGAGGCTTTCCGCTTTCCCCTCCACCACGACACCCTGGCCGTTCTAGTAGTCAGCACCCCGGCCATGTTCGAGAAGCTCTTCCTTCCATTTCTCATGGAGGAGAGTTTCACGACTGAGAAGGTGGACCCGCTGGATGCTTGCATCAGAGCAGCAATGAAAGACACATCCAAACACTTCCCCACAGAGTACAAGGTCGAGTTCGTCCAAGACTCTGACTTGCTGCCCAGCAGACGACCGAGGATTCTGGTCCAGACTGCGGGCCACGTCTCCGGTGCTGCCTACTACTATCAGAGAACGGATGTAGATCCACAACCGTGGAGCCAAGAGAGCCCTATGTATGGGGTGTCGGTTCACCCTAAATACGGAGGGTGGTTCGCACTCCGTGGTGTGCTAATCTTCAACGGTCTCCTTGCTCCTGGGCTTGTAGAGAAACCTCCAATTGACTGTGTGTCCTCCAGTCGAGACCAGAGAATAAAACTCCTGGAGAAGTTTAACTACTCCTGGCAGGACTATGGGTACAGGGACGTCGTTGACGGGGGACACGTTGAGGATAGGTACTCTGAAAGACAGAAACGTACTTTTCAACTGTACCGAGAGAGAGATTTGAGCTTGTGCGTAAATGGAGGACAAGAACCTAAAATGGTTACGTCGTCTGACATTCAGCTCTCTCTTAATTCACTACTCACTTATTTCAATCTTTTGTCGCCAGCAGTATCCCAAATTAGGACAGTGTATCCCCTAAACTTCCTATAATTATATATTATGCAAATGAGCTCACCCAACTTCCTCTTGGTGTAATTGGTCTGTGCTTGACATCACTGCATTACCAGTGACCACAGCTATTCCATGATTAATGACATGGTGGCAAAGCAATATCCCTTATACCAAGATCCTCCATGCATACAGAGGTGGAAGTCGAGATATTTACGGTTTATGGGGGCTGTTTTTAATGCTCTTGCAGATTAAGAGTTGGGAGGTTTCTTAGACCTATTTGTGCATTTGGATAATGAGGTAGATTGTGCCTGCGCTTCGTGCTTCCTGCAGGTTTCTGTGGAAACTGCGGGTAACTGGCTTCATGGCTCTCTCACCATCCGAGGGTGCTCTGACATCTGGTTTCCCAGCATATTGTCTGCTTCTCCTGTACTAGACATTGCCATTTTGGGCAGCGAGTCCACACATTCATTTGCCTTATCCCACGATAATAGCTGCTGGTTTTTGTCACAGAGCACATTTTTTTAGTGAAGTCATGTATAAACCTCGGGTCTGTCAGTGGCTAGCTCTGTATAGTCTATGGCTAGTCTCCAGAGTTTGACAAATCATCATAGGCATAATATTGCAGTCAGTGAACAATGAAACACCACGATGAGGTGTTAACACCGTGCTACAGCTGAAGGGCTGCACATGTTCAATGTTCTCCACACCTCTCCTTTTTTAAAGAACCTGGTACACTATGAATATGAATTGCCTTTCATATGTACATTATTGACTGTCCCTGTCATAATTATAAAACAAAATACAGACCCGGAATTCTATAGATGGCACACATTTACAATTTGGAGCATTCTTGGTGAGGTATTTTTGTAGTTGGGTGTTGAACCATGAGTCAGAGAAAAAGGAATTCATTTTGTTGTGACTAGACCGCATTGTGTGCGGTTGACCGAAAATCCATCCAGTCAGCTCTGCATGCGACCACTTCAACCGCACAGCCATACAAGATGTCTGAGAACGAGTTAGAGTGTCCATTGATCAGGATACCAACTACATGCAGCACCATTAACTCTTGGTATGGAAGCCATATGGAAGCCAGTACACCCCGCAACCTAATGCAATTGCCAGCAACTGACAGAGACAGATATACTGCCAGATACGCCACTGAAAGTTCCAGTCTGGATTCATTTATGAAACTTCTTGGAGCCCTGGGGGAAGGGGAAGTTGAAAGCCAAGGAACAATGCAGGTTGTCAATGTCCAACAGCCATTATCCCATTGAACAAGAGTCTCTAAGTTTCCTGTTTGAAAGAAGAGAGTGAGATGGCTTCCGCTTTCTTGCATGAGGTGCACCTTCTCCATAGTTGGACTTGCTACATTGGAAGGGGCTCAGTTGACAATGTCATCTGTGACTATAGGCTGGGGGGAACAAGTGAGAAAACTGTTCAAAGGTAAGGGTGACCAGAGTTGCAAGGTGAGGGAGGAGAAAGTAAAGGAGGTAGGTGGCCCCAAAGAAGAACACTAGGCACATTGTATAGTAACCTTTGCACCACCTTACTCCCACACAAGTAACAGGGCCATTGTGAGCCACATCCTCACTATTGTCTGTCTGCCTACAGGCACTTCCAAAGACTCCAAACCCCACACATCAATGGCAGAGAAGCTTCCACAGTGTAATGCACCTTGTGACCTACATTGCTTTGGTTTCCTAGAACCTCTGGCAGGTTTTCTCCCTCAAATTGGCAATAATATGGATTATGCGTAGTGGTCAGCGAAACATTGGCATTGGTTCCCCCATTAGGCTAGGTTCAATACTATGTTGTACTGCCCTGTCGTGCCGTGCCGCGAGGATAGAACTCATTTCCATCTTCACAACACGGCGCGACCGGCCAATGTGCTGTACTGTGAACCCAGCCTTAGAGGTAGGATGGGTTACACATCCCAGAGATGATGTTGCACCATAATGAAATGCCCTACATAATTCAATTGTTATCGATTAGTTAACTAATATGTCAGGCATTAGGCTAATTTGGATTCAAAAGAAATTGCAGTTTATCACATAACTCGGGGCACTTCACGCACACAATGTCAGCGTGGTGTCCAGAAGCCATCACCTTCCTACTGCTGTATGCCAGGAGCTGGCGAGGAAGGGACAGCTAATACACACCTTATAGAGTAGGGTATAGACCCCAATGTGTCTTGATGCCAGTGTATCCCACCGCTAGCACATCTCACTTGGTGTTCAGCCATCGGGCCCCATCCACATGGCGCAACTCTTCTTTTATGGCGCGTGCAGATGCCAGGGTTTGGATGGCACTCTTGCTATGGCCAGTGTGTAAGTGAGGCCTAGACCAAGCAGCTCCTAACTGGATTCCCTCTTTTTCACGCTCTCGGCATAGCCACGACTACACTGGATACCTGGCGCGTGTGTATATATTATCATAATATCGTGGTATTATGCTCCCCCTCTCCTCCCCCCCACGCAAACTAGACGTGACATACGCCATCGTGCTTAATCAATTTGGGGTCGCCATGACACCCTTGCGCAGAGCCCGGGAAGGGCGACCAATACAATTGGTCACCATAGCTCCATGGCTGGTTCACTTCCTTCGCTCTCGTGAATAAGGCATTGTGTGAGGCCAATCCCATACTTACCCACTTACAACTCTGGACAGTGAGAGCGTACCTGCGCCCCCTAATTCCAATACACTGTTACCCACGAACCATCAAGCAGTGGTTAATTGTGGTTCGTGGACCTTATTCGCAGATTGGCACCAGCTGTATAACTGCCAGACTGTCGAGAGTAGGGGCCTTACAATACAGCGTCCCTGCTATATATGTACGTGTGTATATCTCCATATACCCCCTTATATACAAAACTTTCAGTAGACATGCAGGCAATACAGTAGCTCATAGTTACGTCTGGCAAGGCGCATGCAGCGTGGGTCAAGCCGGTGACAATACCCCATTCATGCCCCAGTACCAAACAGCAGTACAGACACTGCATCAAAAAGCACTGGGTTCAAATACCAGGAGGAAGCACTTCAAAGTCGGCGTTCAAAGCAATGCCCAAGAGGCTCCACACCTTATACACCCACGCTATCTTTGTGATGTTCGCATTTTGAAGAGCCCACTCGCTGATGAATTCACAGAGGTGTAACAAGAAAGGAACAAAACTTCCACCACTGCTAGTTGCACAGACGTCGGGGTTCCCAGTTCAACAGTACATTCAAAGCTATTGGGTTGAAAGGATGGCTCTGTATCCACTGTATCAGTACTAGAACATTCCTTTATGACAGTCTCAATGGGTATACATGAAACTTTGTATGCACAGCAGATCAGATACAATGCTATGCAGAGCCAACTGTAAATATCAACCACAAACTGGTTGGCATTTCGTTGCCGTGTAACCCAATCAGGTGTGATACCAAGCACAGCTCCTTATGGCAAAATTAACTCCCAATTTGCATTCAGTATGGGGTACAGCTATCGTCAACACAACACTTTTCCTTCTGGGAGAAATTACGCGTACGTCACCATACACACGACGAACAGTATGCAAAATACCCTTCGACAAAAACAAGTAATCAAGCCAAGTGCAGATGGACATGTTATTTCCCTGTGACCTTGTAGCTGAATGGCACATTAATTTTATTTGGTCGCTGGTTAGCCGGAGACATATGTGAAGGCAAACCTGATCCCAGTCAGGAATGCCCTGTATTTCCCTATGCACGCCTGATGGCAGTGACAGCACGCACAAACAGCTTATATACTAACTACCATGTGAGACCCCATAAATGGGTTCCTTTCGATATCTGATCGGTGAACGTGGAACTAACTACGTTAAAAACTGCGCGTTTCTTCTTGATCACTTTTTTTGAATGAGAGACAAATCACAGTGTTGTTACAATGCCAACAAAACCAAAAAGAACAAAAACACATGAGCAGTGCAGAAGCGAAAGAGGGGAGATACAAGTTAGAGAGAGTGGGAGGGAGAGAGACGTAAAAGCTAGAGTGATTGGTCCATAAAGGTATAGGGTCTCCAGTTTTTTGAGCTAGAAAAGTCGAGAGCACCAGAAAGTCCTCTACTTCAACAGTAGTGCCGTACAGACGTAAAATATATATATATGTAATGGAGGAGACGGGAGAAGAATGGATGATTGTGCCAATGAAGAAGTGAATGGGATAATGAATGGGGAAAAGTTTGATTTTTCACTGACTTAAAAATCGGAGACATATACAAGTCATAATAAATTCGGGTTTAGTCACAGAAAATTAGATCTGTTTTTATTGTCTCACAATACACAAAATAGCCTCTCGTTTTCGGTTTCAGACGATAATATAATTATAGTGATATAATATTATTGCTAATAAAATTTGGATGATGAAGTGAAAATCTGGACCTGTTAATTTGATATCGGTTGACAGATGAATTGTAAACATAGACACAAGACGACAATTTCGAACAGACATAAAACTGAGTATCATCTGGCGATGAGCAAATGCACAGCAGTCCATGATAATAGTATACTTACTAGGCACTGAAATGCCATGTTTCTCCAGCGGAGGTGTGTTGAAGCTTGGGACGATGAGTGGAGTTGGCCGACCGTGGGAGGATTGGTGAGATGTGGTGAGATCGGGGAGCGTGGGGAGTGGGGAGGGGCAGCGGAGGACGAGGTGGAGGACAGGGAGTGGTGGGAGACCGATGAGGATGTGGAGGTGGGGAGTTTGGAGGGAGGTGAGGTGGTGGCAGGCGGGTACAGCGTGGTCTGCGTTGTTGTCGACACGTGGGTACAGACTGATGTGGAGTTGTACGTGGTGGTGCAGGTATACTCGGGGTCTCTACTGCAGGAAGAGCACCCGCTGCCTGCTGCGTCGCTTCCGACGTCACACTCCTCACTCGCACTGCGAACTCCGTCCCCGCACACCACCAACCAACACTCCGAGGTGGCAAACTGGCCCGTGCTGCACTCGACCCTCGTGTGGACCGGAACACAGGTGAGACTGCAGCCCATCGTGTCTTCGTTGTCTGGATCCGCCTCGATGTTACCCACGCCCATGTCACAGATCTCGCCCGCCTGTCGCATGCCGTCCCCACACTCGGGGAAATCTTCTGACGACTGCAGCGGGGTGTACCGGTAGAAGAAGATATCAATGTGACTATCGTCTTCTGTGGTGTCTTGCTCCACGTATCCTCTACCCGTTCCCTGTATTGTTTCGACGAGGTCATCATTAGGCTCTGGGCTCCAAGTCACAAACAGCAATTTGTCGTTTGCTGCGGGAGTGATCTCCGCGGGGTAGCGATAGTTTGAGACGCACCTCCGTGACTCGTCGTAGCCCGAGACTCTGAACTGATCTTCGGGTCTGTCGAGGTGCTGAGCGACCATCCGCATGGCATAGGTGCTGTTGATGATTTCGGTCAAGTAGGACAAAATGACTGTGCAGAAGACGAGTCGCTGGGAGTGGAAACCTTCGGAGAGGACAGAGTTGGCAATGGTCGCAATGTGGTCTTCCTGGCCGCAGTTCAGAATCAGGTTATTCAGCATACGCTCCACTTGCGTTGCGTAGTAAGCGTTTATTCTCATATGACGGGCGATCTTCTCAATGTCTCGCTGGATGGCTCCATGATTGCTGCCGGCAAGAGACGAACAGAAATCGCCAGATTGTTCCCTGGAGCATTCTTCCATCAGCTTGAGACCATCTTTCTCCAGTTCGAGACAGGTCGGAGGGTCAGAGTGCTCGGTCGCGTAGTCTCTCTCCACAAGGCTCTGGAGTTTCTGTTTGAGGCACGAATCCTGGTGGACGGCCCACTCGTAGATTGCTCTGTTCCCGATGCAGTGTTCGCACGATTCGTCGTCCACGTTGCGCAGTTGGTCGATTATCTCGCAGCGGGACTTGGCGTAGGCTTGGGTGAACCCGGTCGGTCCGCAGTGGAAGTTTGACTCTATGCAGTGGGAGTAAAAGTGGCATGATCCTTGGGAGAACTGGCAGAGTTGAGAGTTGGAGCCGGTCGAAGCAACGGCGGGTACGGAAGACGAGGCCGAGGAGGAGGAAGAGAAGGAGGAGGGAGTTCTTTTGTACTGCGAGTGTGATTCTTCGTGGTTGGTGACTGTAAATAGTGAGGAGAGAGAGACGAATATTATAATGTGGTACGATGCTTTACAAAGTGTGGGAAATGTGGGAGGGAGGAAGGGGGAGGTTAGAGAAGAGGAAGAGAGGGCATACAACTTGTAGTATTTGTGAGATCCTGAGAAGCCACGGGCCTTTTGACAAAGACAGAGAGGGTGCGGTGCGTTTGTACAATTATTAAGATCAGGCTGCACACAGAGGGATTTGTACTACGGGTTATGCAGCAAACACCTGCGCCAGTGTCTGCAATTAGCAATGACCATTACAGTGTGTGTGTGTGTGCAGTGTCGGAACACGTGTAACTTGTGCATACATTCCAATTACTGCCACGCATGGTAAAAACAGTTCCGAGTAATTAGCGCATCAAGCGGCGATGTAATTGATTAATTAACCGCTATGCTGAAGGGAGCGACGCCTTTGTGCGGCATCTGATGGCAAACAGTGTAAATTCTCCAAAACACAATGGCAGCCCGGAAATATCACGTGAGATTTGATATTCCTTAAACACATAAGAATGTACTAGTTAGCATCTTTTTAGACAAGATGGCCTCTTTTCACAATGGAGGACAAATCTCTTGTAAAGGGATTTGATAAGCACAATTAGGTATCCACAAAAGTTGGCATGAAATAACGCCTGGTGGGCAACAATGGTGGGCAACAATGCTGGACACAATTGGGTATATTTTATCAAACAGACGGGACTTGTTTACAAATTTGTACCTGTTGTGAACCCTACAAGGCCTACAATGCAGGCAAACCAGTGGGATAGAGTGAAAAAGTATGTACTAGGGCACCATGCTTAAATCAACCAGTGTTGTTCCATAGTGGAAGGCCAAAAGTAAAGTGCTGGCAAAGCGTGTGAACATTTACACAGTTTGCCAATGAATAGTGGCCGAAATACTATTCAAGAGTGCATAATGAATTTCTCACAAATGCTTCTATCAGTGGTGGACAGTAGAGTGCAAGGCTAGACCCCTTATCTTGCTGAAACATGCAGAGTTAGTTAAGAAATTAGGGTCTATCGCTTATCAGCTGGTAAGCTCAGCGTTTATGGTCTGCTGGTTCTTGCGCCCACAAAGTGCGCCGGTTACTGCGCTTTTAGCTACAAAGCTGAGACCGTTGTTCGGACTAACTATGCGGTCAGTCTGCTCGCCAACCGAGCTAGAGGTCCCGTAATGATCTAAGAATCAGCTGCATACCGTTCCCACAGGAAAGAAGTACGTAGCTACAGACATGCCGTGCAACCTGCACACACTTCCATGCACATGCATGCTGCAGCACAACAGCACTATGCCAGGGCTCAGGACATGCAAACGGCTAAGAGAGGGGCAGCGTGCAAGACTATAGACCAGCTGGCAAACACCGCGTCTTCTAGGCACGAACAAATGCATTGGCGCTAAACGGAGAAACCGCTGCACCAGATGCCTTGGAGACAGCGTACAGAGACGCCGAATGGGTTTGTAAAGCCACGGGTCATTGTACTTGCACACACACACACAAAGGCAGTAAAACACGGCTAAACATACTATCTAGAACACACTACTCAGCTCGGAACGTACCTGGAAGAGCCAGAGCCCTGCACTGCACAGCAACTATCAATGTCAGCAGTGAAAGTAGCCAACACGAAACGTCCATCTTTCTCTATTTCGCTGCTCTGTATTCTGGGCTTCCCTTCTCTTTTGCTTTACTAATTCAGTTTTCCCTTTTCCTAGCCTTTTATTCCAGCTTGCAGCTCAAACATAAACACTGACAGCCTCCTGCTCAAGCAGACGCGCGCGTTCCGTAAATACGCAACCTTACGGAAGTGGAGACGCTCGACTTCCGGCAATAAAAATGCGGTCAGTCTGTTGAGGTTTTCTGAAATTCATTCTGTGATAGATCATGTTACAGAATTCATAACTGGAGATCGCGTTTCATTGTGGAATGCCGGCTAGTGTGTGTATACAAAAAGTATATGAAATGGGAAAAATATTTCTAAAATCAGCATAAAGGGGTTTTGGTTTTTACTATTTGTGTAAGTCCAGCGTGGATTTTGAAATTAATTCTGCTCTCTGAGTGGTAACCTTTGTAGTCATTCCTGTATTGGCAAGAAATGAGCAGCAGATTTCATAACACACCAGCACAGCAGGAGACACACACGCACAGACAACAACAAATTAATGAGATGGCTGGAGATAATTACACCAGCTAGAACAGGCACAGGGGTGAGTGTGCATGAGCATGTGCGTCTGTGTGTGTGACATACTTGGCAGAGAGAAGCTGTCGCTCTGCGTGATCCAGCATCCCTTGGTCAAGGTAGAGCAGCCCCAGCTCCATACTGGCCACGGCTAGAACATAGTGATCATGAGCGATCAGGCTTGACCTGTGCGGACGCATGGTGCACCGCCCATGACCAAATGCATATATAGCTTTGTGTATGTCTGAGGTTTATGGTTAAGACATGCATAGGGGGACGCTTACTGCTATTCACTAGGTACCAATGGATGGTATGCAAGACCGAGTAACCTAATATTACCACAACAAGGGAGAGAAATATGCACGCAACACACGAAATCTAGTGTGAGAAATTTGTGTACAGCTGACAAGGAGAGATGTAGGAAGCAGTGTACATATGGAGAAAAGGCCACCCTGCCAGGGACATGAAAGGCCGTGGTATGAACTAGGAAGTCCAGTGCCCCAACACTACGTAATGATCTCGCTCAATGGACACACAAGTTTGGTCACAATAAAGCTAGCTCTCGCAATCTCTATGGTACACACGTGTGTGATCTCAAACAACGTTCATCCAATAGCTACAGACACAATACGCATCAAAACGGGTCTTTTTTTGGCGAACGCAGATAAGTTAAAAGACGATCACTTTGAGGGAAGCACACGCAATCTGTTTATCGTGGATGACGTCATCCCAATGTGTTCGTTACTGGCCGATCTCCAAGCCAACACACAAGAGAGTCGGATTTAAATAACTCAGTGTTCAGTGCCGTGGAGGTATCTATGGCATACATAGAGCCTTCTATAGTGCACTTAGACCCCTGTGGTCGCTAAGGGGGAGGCACAAAGGCGCGGTATGCGCCACGAAATTCGAATTTACCGCAGACGCCGTCGTGTCTCTGTATGCATTTGTTAGGTGTGCCGCAAAAGCATGTGTGTGCGTAGGACGAACGGTGAGGGGCAACGAGATGGCGAGGCGAGAAGGTAAGACTCACGTAATGTGTTTATAAGATTACGTTCTATGTTCTGTTGAGGTTAAAAACCTTGGCTTTATAATGTACACGTTATAATGGCCCCTAAGGATTGTCCCGGCGACGAGACCGGACACGTACAGTCAAACCTACACTCAAACATCATAGGAGGAATTGAAACAAAAAGAGTCGATGACTCAGCACAACATTACGTAAAAGAGACACACGAAATAATTATTTCAAAACACTGCCTGGGTATTATTATTATGCGTGCAGCATCGACCGAGAGGAAATGAAACAAAAATAAATCGTTGTGAAAAACGTACGAAACGCATCCCACATACGCCTCTAAAAAGACACACACACTAGCAAGCACCCATTTCCCATTACATACACCACTATTACTACTATTACTACTACGGAAGGCGGGTTAAGTGGTACGTACATGTGTAAGCATTAGAGTAAGGGCTCTTGAGAGTAAAAATGTGTCCCCCTCTTTTCCCCTCCTTTCTAGAAAAAGCTACGTCAAAGAAACCAGACCAAAGAGTGTATAATATACAAATTCAGACTCTTGAAAGAACACGGCCACTTGAGCTGCCACACACACCACTCTCGCCAGTGAATGGCACACATGAACGAGGGCAATTAAACAATTAACCTCTCAAGAATCGAGTCAAAGCAGCGATGTGCTTCATCTGTCCTTTTCTGGGCTCGAAAGCAAACCCCTTGTACGAGTGTCACCACGCACCAGTCATCCGTGTAGCATTCGTTGTTCCCTGCAGTGGAGACATGATGACCCTGCTCCCGTGTCAGCCGGCTTCAAAGCCACGCAACAAGGAGACAACAGGCATTTTTGTACCCGAATTTGTTCGTCTGACTTAGCCAGTGCTCTACCAGCTCGAGCTAATTGCGGGGACTGTACGCCCGCGTGTACTGGCGTGCATACCAAAGCTTCCTCCGAATGCGATACGCTGTGCACGAATTATACTCCTGTATTGTGTTGGGAAATGTGTCACTCTGTGTGCACACGAGTGTTTTGCCCGGTGTTTTGCGGTTGCACATTACCACGACTGCTCTCAACAAACATCAGTTCTTCCCACACGTGGACCAACATCCTCCGCAGGAGGTCTTCGTTCCGTTCCAAGATCCGGAATCCGTTCCACAGGTAAAGGATTTCCTGCAGATCGTTTGAGAAAAAAGTGAACAAAAAGTCACCGTTCACCCCTGGAGAGTATTATACACTAAGTACAACAGCATCAATGAGTCTTACACATAATAGCTGGAAGTGTGTAGTTAGGCTAGAGTGAAGCATACACAAGAAGACTTCCGATCAAAATACATTATATTATACTACAGTCGTGCATACTACAAAATACACGTTTTTAATGCACCAATACATTCACGAACCCTTAATCTAATAGACGTCGCATATGTGCATGCTCCTTAAACACACGTTAGCAGCCGGGATCCTAATGCATTTATCGTGATACCAACCATGATAAATTACCCCCGAATGCCCTAGTCGACCTTTATATAGGAGTGCTATTAACGTTCATTAGATAAGCGAATACCGCGAGCGTGCCTGCCACAAGTGTTTGACCAGCACAGTGCTGGTCGGCCCATGACGATCATGCAAATACAGTACACGGAACTAACAAAGAGTAACATGGTCTGATTGCACACGACGACATTCTTCTCATATGCTCTTGAGTCCAGAGAACGTTAAGTGGAATGTCTCTTTTTTCATTTGTATAGAGGGAAAAGGAGGAGGAGGAGGAGGAGAGAGAGAGGGGGGGGGGGGGATGAAAAGAGACAGATTGAGGGGTAGAGCCCCTGATAATGTGGGATGGGTCCGTTGTGTGTGTGGTACAGCTGGCAAAGACAATGCACAACATACACACAACTGACCCTCCAACGTTAGGTGGGGGGGTTGAAGAGAATCAATTGTTTTGGCCAAAGGAGGCCAAAATGCATCGCCCCCTCTCTCCCTTTTTCTCTCTTTCTCTCTTCCACTGTCTCATGATGGATGGACAACGATTGAGAAAAACCTGAGAAACTTGAACCGCTTTTGTGTCTGCGTGTGTGTGGACAAGGAGATGGAGGATCAGCGACTCTCGGCGCAGGTATATACAAAGGCACAATGAAAGACAAAGCTGAGACAGACGTCGGTGGAGGGGTGGCTACCAGTTCGTGTCTTGTGCGTGCCTGTGTACAGCTTGTGCGGCTGAGTTTACACAGCCTAGGAAATCACCCTCGCTTGTCGCAGTCAACAGTCTGCCTCTGAGACAATGGTTTACTCCAGAGTGGGGGAAAAGCTGATGACATGTGTGCAGGCACAATGGGACAGATAATGAGAGTTTGGCTCACTAAGACCGCTTTTATTCACCTGGAAAAGTATGGGATGTACATTGTAATACCAAAGGCTAGATACACACAATTTTTCGGGAGTTTGCATGAATATCAGGACAGCTCAAAGATTAGGACACCTCACTTATCAGGACACCATGGGGTACCTCGCTGATCAGGACACCTCACCAATCAGGACACCATGGGGTACCTCGCCAATCAGAACACCTCACCAATCAGGACACCTCACAGATCAGGACATCAATTCCTCCGTTCACGTTGGTGATGATGGTCTTACCAGAGCTGCGATGGGAAGATAGCCTCTCTGACTCACGTAGCGCTCCGATTTCGCAACAGCAAACTTCTCAATTGGCAAAGACTTTCCTGCAATTCTCTGCTTGTGAACTGGAATCATTCTGCATGGGGAAAATTGGTAAACAGTCGGAAGTAGTATCATACAGACGATTTAACTTTCAAGTATAGCACCCAATTACAAACCTGCTGACAGTGAAAGATAGAGTTACGACACATATCTACACGGAGAGGAAATGGAATGCACGCGTGTGCGTTCAATTTGTCGCCAGAAACAGTAGGAAGTGGAGATTTGATTGGTTTTTCAATCTGCACCTGTGGAGGCATGGACCCAGCAGATGTTGGCAGTTTGCGACAAGACAAAAGTTTAGTCCTATCCACTTGCAACTTTGCATTTGTTCTGTGAAGCAATGCATGTTAAAAACAGGCACCTTCAACTATGGAACACACAGCTGTATATATGTATATTCCTGGGAATCAACATAATTTCATAAAATACGTAATTGCCAGGAAGCAAGCACAGCAAACACAATACGGTGTCTATATATTATTACTGTAGTAAGATGCTGGGGATGGGCCCCTTTCAATTTGAACGATATAAACTTGCAAATTGGATGGCTAGTAAAGAGCAGGCAGGCAGGCTGGCTCAATCGCATGGCTAGTATTTAATACTCACGTGTGTGTGTGTGTGTGTGTGTGTGTGTGTGTGTACTAGAGTAATATAGAGACGTTCAGGGCTAGGCCTAGGTTACGGAATTCAATCCACTCACTCAGTTTGCCTCAAATGGAGAATTAAAAAACGGCCTCTGAAGTGCAGGCCAGAGTGTTCCTATGAGTGAGCATCACACCATACAATGTATATACTGAGCTAAGAGGCACCCAGGAAGTAAAGCCACAGAGCTAGAGGCTGACCTAAAATTTACACAGCTAAGGAGATCTAATAGGATACCTGTGCCGGCGGCTGGACCTATAAAAACCATGAATACAACAGCACCCGCTGTCTCAATGTACATATGCATGTATAGTGTAGGGAGAAGGAGAAGATGAACAAAACTCCCTATCACAGCCCCATACTTCTACGATGTTAGGCACCATGCCCATCCCTATATTATACTAAGTACTAGTAATACATGTTTTGTGAGTTGGATAAGGCCACCTTTATTCCGTTTAGAATTGAATTTCGTGCAACGTCCATCCCTTGAAACTCTGTAACTTCACCTAACAGGCTCACCTTCACTCCTACCAGTTTGTTATTAGGGACTCCACCAGTGCCAAGTGGGACATGCACATCACACACAGCTATATACTCCACTCCCGGCAAAACATCTCTCATCAGGCGCTGGTATACAGTCAACCAAAGAAACCAACCCGTGTCTTCCCCCCTCCCACACTAATTTCCTCCCATAGTCTCTTACTCACTTGGGAGTAATATGGGGGCATATCCTATAGACTTATCTATACACCATAGGTACACAGGCTTCTAGGCTCTACACTAGAGCTATATAGGCTCCTCAGTAATAACTAAACTCACACACACACATGCATGGAGGTCACGTACTAAAGTAGCTGTGAATACATGCAGCTCTTAGGGAACAATTGGAGGTGCTGCACTAAACAAACTGCACTTAAAGCTTCCCACCAGCTGTTACAAATGAATTACTACCGAAGTATGCACTCCACTCACATGCACCAACCCTGAGGTACAAACAACCATGTGAAGCGGAGTGAGTGGGCGAGTGTAGTATGTAGTGAGTATAAATATCAGGAAGGGCTGAGCAGAGAGGGAGGAGAAAGAGAGAGAGTGGCGATGGGTAGAGAATCTTGCCTCATCATCTCTAACACTTCTCCACAAGTGACGTTGACGTTTGGAGCAATTTTTTCCCCGGGGTCTCTATCGAGAAGGTGTGCTCTGTCTGCGGCGGGTTGAAGCATCAGCAGCGAGCTCACTCTCTGGTACAAGAACGTGGACTGAAGAAGAAGAGAGAAGGGTAAGGGGGAAAAGAGAGAGAGAGGAGGGGGAGAAGGAGAGAAGAGAGAAGGGTAAGGGGGAAAAGAGAGAGAGAGGAGGGGGAGAAGGAAGAGAGAGATGAAGGATGAAAGGGGAAAAGAAGAGAGGGAGAGGGGGAGTCAGTGAGAGAGATTGGGGAGAGCAAGAAAGGGAGAGGGGAAGAGAAGAGAGAGACAGGACGGAAGAGAGAGAAAACAAAGAGAGAAGAAAGGTGCACATACATGTCACTCCTACATACAGCTCCCACCCCAAACGGCTAAATGTTCTCACGCACTACTACGAACACAGACAGCCTATATTATACTAGCAGTCTAGGCATTTGGCCGCACCTGACACACCGGCATACCAGGAAAAGCCATATAACTTGTGGCTATATATCCAGGCCGTGCAGGGAGGTAAGTAGACCACATATACAAACGCACACAGCCATGAACTGGAGCCTCCTCCGAGAGCAGAAGCTGGGCAGCTGTTCCCACTGCTCCATACCAGAACTAAGTGTCCGGTATGCCTGTGGCATGCGGACAAGTGGGTGCCTAACGAATGGGACGAACTCACTGGCCACATGAAAGCAAATAAACCCCAATTCTCGCGTGGGACAGAGCTACATGGTAGTTTCCAAGAATAGTGCGTATACCAAGCTGAGGCCCGAGAGTTATTTATACAGCAGGTCAGGCAGAAATAGGCTGACATTGCTGGGCTTGGCGCGGCCTGCCCGAGAGCAAATTAGTTCCACTTACGAACTGTCCATCTCTAAGTGTGGATCTGCCCAGCAAAGGCTCGTAGAGTGCACGATACACTACGCGTACAGATTACCACTGCCTCATAGACACACACACACACACACACACGGCAGACCTTCACGATTGCGCTAATGTTACACAATTTGTGGGTCTGATTTATGCGAGGTTCATGGAAGAACTAACCGTTGCAGGTTTCTATCGCTCTTAAAAATGGATAATATCCACACAATACGGATGGAATGCGATCTGTTTACAGTAGAAATTCCTGGTCTGGTGCATATGAATGCTTTGTGCATGAGTAAAGCTGCACACATGAAAAAATGCCGGTCACCCCGGCACATTCTATGTCTGTCTGCGCATCTGGGACCATACACACACAATGTACACGAACGAGACGGTGATATTATTAAGACACATACTTTGGTCTAATGCCAAAACTCTAGCTGGCGGGATTGCGTGTCCCGCTCGAGGCTACCCCAAACGTGGCACGCAACAGCAAACAACGCGAGAGAGACACTCGTAACTAATCCGGTTAGTTACCCCCGAGACTTGGGAAACAAGTCGCGAGCAGAAATTCGTCCGTCTTGGTTCTCTCTTCGCGGCGAGCAGTGTATGGGGGTCGGTTGCCATACCAGATGCCATACCAGATGCCAGGAACACGCATCGCAACTAGTCAGCTTGTATTTGAACATCGCAACCACTCTAAACAAATTTTCACTCGATTATGGTAATGTATGAAACAATTTGCAGGGGGAGAATGGATTGACAGACATGCGAATGTCTACAGATAACTCTGTGCCGAGACATAATGAATTTATATAGCTATGTTTCAATTCTTCAGTAATGGCCGCGTGATTTCTTCTGCGTGCCCCAAATATCTACACGAATCATTTGTTGAACAACACACAAACAAGTTTTAAACTCGGCACACGAAATGAATGGATAGCATGGAGCGAAATGTTGGCAGAACGCGAAATACTTCCAATTCCGTCGGTAATGTCAGCATGCTTTGGGTTTCTGGTGATTACGATTACCTTTGACCAACGGCTGTGGAGATAGAGTTGCTCTGCGTACGAAGACGCCTCCAACCAATCGCATTTGAGCCTGAGCAACAGAAAACATCAGCACCAAACCAGTATACACTTACAGTACAGTATCGTCTCATTCATACGTACATTGTACGTAATGAGAGTCATAACTAATGGAAATACGTAGTCTGTGGTCATCTTGCAAGTTTTGGTGCCCTGGCGTACACAGCAACATCGCCAACATGGGATACAGGGTACAGGGAAACACGAAGTCCAATGTACGGACAGTGAACATTCATGCAGAATATCGACTTCTGCTGCTAGCCCCATCTCTCTCTCTCAAGAGTCACACACACACACAAAGAATTTGGCAAAAGTTGAGGCTGTCACCCATTTAGTCTGCATTATTCATCATAAGCATACAATTTCATGCGGTTAGGCAAGCAAATTTCCGATGCCATAATGCACCCATAGGGCTACCTTGCAATCAAATAAAAAAACCTCTGTATATACCTCCACTTTATAATTGCAACCCAAATTAAAAAAGAAGGTTGTAGGTATACATTACATAGAGCAGCAAAAAATTAAAAATTTCCCCCTCAAAATCTGTAGAGTGCGTACGTACGTATGTGTAAGGTTCGTACCAGTGACACCACATTATTTCCCACCAGCAAAGATGGCGGATTTGAGTCCAATCCACCGGTAGCTCCTGCACCTTCTGGAACGACGCGATGGCCTGCGGAAATCACGTGACTGTCACATGACATCACACGAGGCACCAGAGGCGACAACGCGTGTGTTGTCTTTGTTGCCTCGCTCCCTAGTCAAGTAGTGGTACAATGCAACAACAGTAGACCCATAGACTTATCCATAACACTCGGAGTCATGGGCTACATACACACACGCTCTTTCTCTCTGCCCCCATCTCTCCCTCTGTCAAAATAATACAGACACAATAGGAAACCCTATAGATGCAGCACACACACACGCACACTGTTGAGGTACGAATTCAATATACACCGCTTAGTACCGTCCTCCGGGTAGCCACTACATATGTAGACACATATCTCTCAATTCCCCAAGAGAGAGGAAGCCGTGTAAGTCAGGCGTGAATGGCCGGCAACTGGGAGTGAGCCCATTTCCCAGGCTTACCTCCATTGAGGCCTCCTTTACCTCACACTCTCTTATCCTCAACAAAACTTTCAGCGCACATGCGAGCGTGCCTGTGTTTGGGTACATGTACGCTATGCTATGCTGCACGTACTGCTGGCTCGAGAACACTTTGTATGCAGCACTGTGTCTATTGGATGTCCGGTCCCCCCTTTGAACACCTTTCACATGCAGATGGTGATCAAAAACGTGTCCGGCTTGTTTACCGAAGGGTTTCTGTAAATATTTTCCCTTCCGTCTTTGTTCCAGGGTCTCTTTAGCATCTTCAGTAACCGACGCTGCGAGAAGCCAGCTAGATGCACTTTCCTCTCTCTCTCTCTCTCCCTCCTTTCTCTCGGTTAGTATTCTCCAGAATGGAGGATGTTTGTTAGAGTTGCATCCTCCAACCTTCCTTCCTTCCTTCCTACATTGTCATACTATACTCTCTGTGTTAGTACTAGAACAAATGCAACGCATTTTCGGCGAGCCAACGCGAGTGTAAAATTTCAGTAGATTTACGCGTATTTAGAAATACGGACGTAAAGTAAAGCACGACCTCACTGACGACACACGCTCCCAAATACAACAGTGACTTTGATAGAACTTTGCAGAGATTAAGATTAAAGCTCTTTCTGATTGACATACTATACATCGATGCACCCCACAGCTTCCATACAAACTGGTTGAAAAGACTTTCATACTTACACATAGCCCTCAGGTCCCTTGGGGGAAGTTGAATTCAAATGTATGGACTGAATGTGGTCTCTCAAATCAATGGACCATTTCCACTAAAGAAAGGGAACTCTATAATCTTCCAGTAATCTCTAGTATACCCCGCACGGCAGTACTCCCAACTGACCTGTGGAATGCGATAGGGACGCGGTGTTGATTCTACGGGCAACGATATTCAGACCGAGGGAAGGATCATATTTACAAACACGTTGGTGTCCCTCGGGAGTTAACAATATTCAACAGGGAGTCAATTGGCCTGCCCGGAACTGAACCATGTCCATGAACACCTTTCTAATGAGTTAGAACAGTCACCGGGCCAAGAATTTCCATGCTGACGTGATTTAACCAGTTTTAGAGTATACATGTACGATACACAACAAAAGAACCCTTTATAAGATACACAACGAGGCCACTATGACGTAACATAACCGAGGTTATCTTGAGCATAAGTAAGATTGAAACCCAGGGTGTATAGGATCGAAAAACCAGAGCCAATCACAGGCTACTCGTACAATCGAAGGGTCTCTTCTCTCTGCATATTTCGGACGTGTTGTCAGCATCCAGCACGTCCTTCCAACTTCCTGATTCTCACACAGTCTGATCATTTTTGGTCATTTCTTGACCTCAAAAATCTCGCCTCAGTTGCATACATACATACATACATACATATCATAATGTTTTGAACCACGGTCATAGTGAATGCATATTATTCACGGGATTGGTATGCAACTTTCAGACTTTATTTTTAAACTTCAGCTCTTATCTCACGTGGTTAATAAAGCATGCTTGTAGTCAAATATGACAGGAATGTGGGCAATTAAAGGGTGTGGTCTAAATAGGCACTTGTCTAAAGTTGTTCGTAAGGATCTATAGCCCAATCCAAGTTATTAGTTGTCAATTGCAGACTAAGTGGTAGGAGACGCAGCGACATTGAGGAACAAGTAGCTAACATGACCACAGACATGAAAACACGTATCTACATGTAATTTTCAGGCTTATCTCTACATTCCCCTGTACATGGATACAGTGGCCTGGGGAAATGTAGCGAATGAACTACATGTGTAACACCATAGCTATATAGAAAAACGATGACAGCATTATTTCATAGGCCAATAGCTAGGAGTTAAAATGTACATGCATAGTTGTAAGGTAGCTAATCATGTGCGTGCTGTCGTGTCCACCGCTGTACACAAGTTGGGTAATTTGGTACATCTGTGTACCTTCTCCCGTGACAGATAGAATGACGTGGTGTATGGACAAGCGGTGCAGACATAGCTCACCCCATTAATATTTCCTTTCATCAGCTCTATTCTGCCTTTAAAGTAGAGATACTGAGCTGACTGGAGGAGGGAGGAGGAGGGGGGAATAGGAGAGGGGAGGAAGTGTGGGAGACAAAGAGAGGAGGTGAAAGGCAAGAGATTTGGGAGTCTTAAAGGTTCCCCATTTGGACAGTGGTCCTGTAAAAAATTAAATACGAGTATCCCCATGCAAATTAATTGTCCGTGTGAATAGTCCCTTCTTAATAAATTTCTGAAAGAAGCTTGCGTAAGCTGGTGCGCGTCACGCAACATGTGACCATAACCCTCCACAGGGGGTGAGGGCTAAAAACCAGATATCGACCACCTCTCCTGAATATCGTCACACAACTCCCTTACACGCTCGCCTGAGACAAAACACCAGCGATGTGAGGCCCCAAGCCGTCACCCACTTATGTTGGCGCCGCCGGTGATGGCTAGGAGTGAATTGTGCTCGCTGACCCGTTTGCACTCGGGTCGAGACACAAACAGAACGTGGAAGACACGTGAAGCGCAGTCAGCCGTTTGAGTCGCCTTCCCTGTCTAGCGTACTGTCTTGTACGCTCCCTCGTACGTTGTGTACACACACGGACACAAGTGACATAAGTCTCACGCGTAGCAATCGCGATACCATCACACAAAGGCTTGCATCACAAAAGCATTGTTCAGTCATCCGGCTCTGTTTTGAAAATTTGGTAAGTACGTAATAATACCTGAAAGTTGATGGAAGGAAAATCAGCGCTCCCTCTTGAAAGAGGCTCTTTCACATCACGAAACGATTGCAGGGCGTTGTGAAATAGGCAGCGGTTGGTTAGCAAACGAACGCTTGCAGACAGGGACGCAGAGATGACGCAACGAAAGGTAAAACAAGCGCAACTGTGGTGGGTCCTTATGCAAATTGTTTTAGGACCCGCTGCGTTGTGTAATAGTGCCGCCATTGCAAAGTGCACACCGCCCGCCTGTGTGTCAATAGAAATGTCTTGAAAATAGAGAGAGAGGAAAAACATCTGTCGTTCTTCCCACACACCCCGTATTGAGCAACTTTAAGTGCCCGGGTGGTTTTTTTGGAAAAGAGCTCCAAGTGAAAATAAAGCGATGGTTTTTGCAGATAACAAACACCGTGCTCTGCATAAAGTTTCGTAATTGAACCAATGACGAAGGGTTGTGTGAGGGAAAAAAACTGTGGGAAATAGTGTAATAACGGCAGATGCAATACCTCCACTGAAAGGGGGGCAGTCAAAACGGCAGACGGAGGCGGATAACCGACTTCCCTGTTTTTTTGAAAAGTGATGATGCAGTTTTGACAGACCTTTAGAAAACATTCCTAATGGAAAACAAAAGGCCGTGCGACACCCCCGAAACTGGAACGGCTATTTCACCGAGGACGGGGTGTTGGCAATCGGACGTTACACATTCTACTGGTCTATAAATAGCTCAAGTATTACACAGTGGACGTAATAAAGCTGGTGTATATACCTTACGTACACGTATGTATAGGTGGATGACGTAGCACAACTTAATTATGTATGCTGCTAGAAATGACGGTTTTTCTTTGGTTGAAAGGCACTCAAATTCCCAAAATCACGAACAGTTTTCCCTTGCCTCCCCCATCCTCCCACCTTTAACCCTTTTGTTCCCACAGTACTAGTTATATAGCTCACCTCTGGGTATTTCAAAAGCTGTACTTGAAGAAGTTTCTCACAGCGTTCAGTGTTCATATCGCCAATCCCTGTACAATGGTGGAGGCATATAAACCACCAGAGGCTCCTTACAATACAAACCACGCACTTAACAACATACAACACGCACCACTACAAAAACAAAATAGTTTATATCACAAACACACCCTGCGTATAACCCTGCGTATAAATATATACAGAATGCACGATGTAAAACGCACATAAAGAAGATGAAGATGAACAAAACTCTCCCATCATAGCCCCATACATCTATGATGCTGTGTAATGCCCATCCACATGTACTAGGTATGTACTACTGTATATACTATGAAAGTGGAAACGAAATTTCTCACGTGAACTGGGTAAGACAGAGGGTGAGTGAGAGAGAGAGATAAAGCCTACGAGAATGGCACACGGTAAGCGGGAGTGTACCGTGGGAAAGAACGATACTAAAAGTAGGAAGAGCAACGTTTTATAAACTTGTTTAACCCGTGTCGGATTGATGTTGGCCAAAACTGAAACATTCTCTGACGAAATTCTCGCACACAGTAGAACTCAAAGGGAGTGGTATCGGGTCGCGGAACGCCGGAGCTTTTGCTTACAAACACGCCGTACTCAGCTCTCACGGATGCTTACAAACAGTCGTATTAATGTGTTGGTGCTCTGGCACGACACAGCACAGGCGTCAGTTCAGAGAGCGTAAACAGAAGTCCTCCAAGTTGTATTTGCATGGAAGTTCAAACAACACATTGTAACGACGTTTCCAGCACTATTTACTCTTGTGTGTGTGCACTAATTCAGTCACTTGTGTACTTCAATCTTGGGAGTATAGAGCATTATGTATATTCACTGTTCAAGCCCTTTTAAGGGCACAATGACCACGACTGCAAATAATTATAGTAGACGATGACATCATCCAAATATTTATGTACAACGCTCTATGAGAAACCAAAAATGGATTATTAACAAGCACCTGGTATTTGTATGTAGAGATGAGAAATAAACTTCTCAAATCTGGAGGTCACTTGGTAGACAAGTAGCACTTTAAAAAAATTTTTTTTTGAGGGGGGCACCTGGTGGTGTATAACACAAAAATCTGGCACCTGACCTACAAAATCAAGTGAAAAAACGTCAAAATTATGGAGGGTGCCTGGTGGTACAACTGTCCACATTCATGAAACCAAATATCTGACCCTCCAGTACGGTAGTATCCTGCCTGACTCACTAGATTGAACTGAAACCAGTTATCACTAGTTCTAGCTAAGTCTAGACCTGCCGATGCATTAGACCCGTACACCCATACATTTACATAATGGTATGATATATACGTATGTGTATGTACTGTCAATGATATAGCGTCTTGCCATCCTTTCAGGGAGGATGGTGAGGAGGAAGGAATCCCCTCAGATCTATGGCTTCGGGAAACCTACCTTCCTTCACGGTTGTATAGTGGCATTAATTAGGGGACATGATTGGATTAGGCCCCGAGACCCACAACATAGAGGGGACACAACTGTTACTGTCCGCAAGTAGCTGTCCACCGTAATGGAAGAGTCACGTTATTATAGTGTCTGTTGCCGGTGGCGACAGACGAGCCGTGATTCTTGCTGTCGATGGACTACGTAGCACTGAGGCTGGACAGGTGTTGTAAGAGTGGCTAGTTGCTGGCACAGCTGCTTTATCTTCTATGAGCACGTGTCCCTTGGTTACTTCAACTAATCGAGCATTTCCACTCCCACACGTTAATACACTGTGTAAGTGAACATGCTACGTACATATGCAACATATGCAATGGTTATATATCCTTAGAGTATAGTAGAACAAATGCAAGACATTTTTGGCGAGCGAAGCGACCTTTGAAGCGCTGTATGGGATGTTTATATGCAGTATCACGCACGGCACAGAGAAATCGGTAGGTCAGATACAAAATATAAAGAACGCACGAGAGAGACGACTAGGTACGTAGGCCTGCTTCATTTGCCAATTATGAGAATCGAAACTTGTTAAATACCAAAAATTTCCAGCTGCTAACATTTCAAAGGTAGCATACACACAAAGTCTTACTACATGGTTACTTTGGAGTCCAAATATGAAATGCCAACCTCATGAGGCATGTGCTACTCATACAGTGTTAGAAACACACAACAAGAGCATCACAAATGGTATATTAGGCAAAGGTCAAACCAACGCTCCATATTAGGAAGCCAATAGAGGGCACTTTGCAGTGGGTTTGGCAGTGGTGGAAACAGGGGGAAGGAAGTCAAGTGCCGCCTAAAGTGCTGCTCGTGGAGAGATCAAAGGCAGCATTAATGCTTTCCCTAGAGCTAATGAAGATGTGGATAGACCGCCCTCCCTACTATCACCCCGTGTCAGTTCACACCCGCAGGCGGACCAACGAGCAGATCAAAGGCCGGGCATTAACTCTCTACGGTGGAACCCATCTCTAAGGACGCCGCTACACTTCTCTAACAAGGACACCTTTTATTTCCACAAGAACAGTGTCTTGCGTGCAATTTAACCCGTGAAATAGGACACGTCACTTTCTTCTGTCCCATCGGTGTCAAGATTAGAGGGGTTCCATCAATCAATCCTATGCTCTCACAGCAACATATGATTGTGTGTGTATAAAGTGCTTGCGACTGAGCGCACAAAAGGCCTTGCTTCTCTCTCTAATCTGGTTGTCGCGCTCTGTGATGCGTATCCTAGACAACGTGTCGCTCTCCTGTCAGCACGAATATCAAGGTGTGCCCTCCCCGAGAATGAAATTTGTGCGTCTTTGTCCAACACTGCCGTGGTATGAGAGAGCAATCCGATTTTACTAGACGACAGCGACCGCCCAGTAGTATCTCACACTCCAGACTACATAGTACAACTCTATGTACATATGTACAACAAGGTTTTTTGGCGAGCGAAGCGACCTTTGACCAACGATGTTCGTGCATGCGCATTTTGATGATGCACAGTCGGTGGTGGGTGAGTCGGTCGTTAGTTATACTACATACAACCACAATTTAGACGACTTAAAGCAGTCATAGTAAGTAAATAGGAGTCAGTAAAGCTTTAAAACTCTACATGAAAACTGAATTATATGCCATGCACAATGTCTAGGTTGGTTTTAGGCCACCCTCTTGTGCCACGAGTGGATTATGAAATATAAACCCTCGGTGTATCCACACACACCGACACCAACACCAGCTGCAGCATTGTGTTGTAATCGTGAATATATACCCTCTTGTTACTCAACTTAATTAGATCATCTTTCACAAATGCACACACAAATCGCGCGCACACATGACCTTCCCCTCGGCACTCTGCACAAACGGCACGTCGTAATGGCAATCAATAATACACCCAGACATCCTGACTCACAGGTTTGAAAATCAAATTTCCCGTTATTTGCACACAATTAGAGTCCCGCATGACTGAACGAACCTCTGTGAGTCACAGCTGTTGTCTCTAGACAAAGCCTCTGTGGCATGTCCATGCACCATTTTCTACCACGAACCACTCTCTCACTCTACACACACACACACATACACACAGACACACACCCACTTTTCCTCCCTCACTAGGCATTAAACTCTAGACCATTCCTCTTTCCTGTTTTGGGGGGGGGCTGATTGACGCAAGGGAAGGATCCCCGGGGGCCCGCGGGGGCAGAGTGGGGGGGACAGAGGATACGGGAACACATCAGGAGAGGAGGAGAAATAAAAGCGGGCGTCTAGGTCCGTCTTTTCTTTCTCAGGGTTCTGGGACGTCCCATCCCCGTCTCCTTTCCATATGTTGCCCCTTCTATGATGCCCTGTTTCTCCCTCATTCCCCCTCACCCCGTCCCGTTTTCATCTTCAGCGCTGCATATATTCGCCCGAGGCTCCCCATGCTACCTTCCCGGCCCTACTCGTCACCCGAGCACGCGAGCCCTTTCCTTCGCTCCCGATCCGCTCGGCCACCCCTTGTCCCCCATTTCTGGTATCTCTAGCCCGCGTTTCCCCCTTTTATGCTCCCCCGCCCCCCCCCCACATTCCCCCACCATTGGTCTCCTCCCGCTTTTTCCGCTGAGGCCCATGTGTGTTCATCTTTCGCCGCTCCCATAGTGCGCGTGTTCTTTTTTCCGCCCCCACCACACATCCCCCCCTACGGCTTTCCCCCGCCCGACGTCTTTTCCCGTCGCCTCCTTGCTTCTCTGTCCCGCTCAGCTCCTCCCCGGGGGCGTTTCCCCATCTCCCGATCACACCATACCCCGGCTGTAGCACTCCCTTCACATTGCGTGGTTTGGGCGGGTCCTCCGGCAATCTCCGTTCCACCAACCTTGGTGCCTGTTGCTCTCCCCCCTGTCATTTTTTGGGCACCAACGTATCCTTCCCGCTTTAATGCGGTCAGGGGCACTCTCACCCGGTTGTACCCCCCCGACCGCCCGCGCCTCCGCCCCCACCTCCCCGGACCCCTTCCTTTCTACTTGTCCGCCCCTTTGTTTTTTGGTCGACCCCGGATATCTGGGGTTCCCAAGTTTTACTGAAAGGTCACGAGGAGCCTGTTCGTTAGGGCGACATTGTTCCTCTCTCTTTCCCTTCGTGCCTGGGTTTTCCCCTGTTCCCTTGGGTCATGCCCCACGTCCTTTTTGCACCCTGGCTTCCCTGCCGACACGCCGCGTTTCCTTGGGCCCACCAGTGTCGCTCTCAATTATACCCCCGGAGCAGTCCCGTTACACTCCTGTGCTCCGGCGATACCTCCCCCTCCTCCCGTGCGCATCCCCCGCCCACCTATGCCCCTTTCGGCCGAGCCTTCGTCCGCGCGGGTTTCGGTGTCGGGCCTACTATCCCTTTGCGCGCAGACACCAGTCCTGCTTCTTCCCTTCGCGTGACCTGGCGAGGATGTTGCGACTGCTCGCTTTCATTTTTCCTTAGCCGGGCCTCGGTGGTGGTCTGGGAGCGCTCCTAATGACCCGTACTGCCTCTCTGGAGCCCGCCGGTCGGATTGGCGAAAGGCCTTGGTTCGCGGCCTCTGCCTTTCGCCGCCAGTTGGTCCTCGGCAGTTTTCCACGGGGCCAATCCGTGGGAGGATTCGGCGACGCCCGCTTCGTTTCCGGACATAACTAGAGCAGCGCAGGAAAACGGGCACATCGGTCGTTATCATAATCACCCTCGTTTCTTCTTTCTGCATCCTGCGGACACCATTATGTTTCTCTTTTAGCTAAAATAGATACACTGTACTTTATGTACATATTATCACACAGACTGTGCAGTGTTAGAGCTATGAACCTCAAACTGCCTCATTACACATATATTGTACGTACATACATACTATATACCACATACACAGTGTGGTCTCAGTTAAGAACGCCAGCTGAGCTCAAAGAGACGGCCTGGCTGCCCCACAGAAAACTTACCGCTCAGTTTGATGCCCCCCCCCTGGACAGAATGCTGTAATATCTCCGTAACTGAGCAACTGTCTGGAAAAAATTAGGTAAGAATGCCGGCTGTAATTAACAAAGGGGCATCCCAAAATCTCGGTGTATAATTAGAGTATGTTTTACAGGGGAGACTGCACTATACAGTGCGACACTTTCGATGGCAAAAACCGTTCGAGGTTCTAGAGCACTCTGCGGTGGTTTTTTTGTTGACAAACCGTGGGCCGTTAGAGAATTTTGACAAGCAACCCTTGAAATTATGACTTCCCATGATGATGATGATGATTTTTTGATGATTTTGCCAAGTCGTCCCACCCCCTCCACCCTCCTCCCCCGCGTCTCACTGCACACTACACATCTCACCATAAGCAGTAAACAGTAAAGTTGAAGGTATATACTACTTACACACACGTAATGCAAATGGAGGGAGGTGCAGGGAGTGGGTCGTTATTAGACTCCGCGAGGGGTCGTTATTAGACTCCGCGAGGGGTCGTGTTTGTGGCACTTTTCAGCACTGCCAAAAAGCAGCTGCAACCCATTCCCTCCGTTGCCGCGAGAGATGTGTTTAAATTCAACACACCATCATCTTCTGCCAAGAAAAACACGTCTTAATGAGTCCCTTCTGGACACTCTTTAAGAAGGGGTTTCTCGCACTGTAAGGTGTACATGTAATTACGTACGTACATTCACGCATGAATTGTATGCACATGATAGCAAAGGAGTAGCTGAGGAACAAAAGATAAACAGGAAAAGGAATGCTTCAAAGTGGTTCCTATCCCCCCACACCACACCACACCACACACACATACGATACACAAGAAAAAGATACACAGAACCACAGATTTACTGAGATGCCCGCGTGTGGAAACTCGAGGATCCGTACCTTCCGTCATATAAGGGAACGAAAGTGGATTGTTTTTCAGAGGACTGAATACCCCACATTGAGACACAGGAAGGCGAGAGGCCGCAGGGAACAAACCGGGGAGGGGGAATGCAACTAGAGAGATGCGTCAAAAATGCGAAGCAGATTCCAACAGGATATGGAGATAAAGGAGGTGAATGTAGCCTGATTGGTGTCATATGCACAAGAATGCACCCAAAAGCCAGCGGAATGCGCGGTGGAATGTCATATGAAACAAACTACTGATCAAAAAGGAAGTGTTCTACATGTGTACGTCGACTTGATATCAGTATTGTGTTTCATTTCTGTGTATATACAGTACGTCTGTGCCACATACATTGAATTCTTTGACATCGTGGAATGCCATTGGTAGTTGTTTTTGTTGAAGCATACGAATGGGCCTCCAGAGACTCCACACACACGTGTGCATGTGTGGGGAGATGGCCAACTGACAATAGTGTTTCTGCTAGTTAGAGCTTTCACCCTCCTTCTCCCTCTACATATCCCATCCCATTGGGATAAGGGGGTACCTATCCAACTATCCAACTTCGCTGCAAAGGAAAACTTAGCCTTGTTATAGTCTGTATTAAGATATGGGCCACCCAACAAGGCACACAAGCAACGAGCGAAGCCGTGAAATTCCCATTTTCCCCATGGCTCCTACTCTCTCTCCTTATCCTACAGTTGTAGCTACGCACTTCCACAACAGACAGCTGTCAAACACACACACCACACTGCCATAAGAGGACACCGGTAGAGAAGGAACTACTCGGGGCATGAGGTCATCGTCTTGGCAACCACAGAGCACCCGTCATCTCCTTGGAAACCTCTTGTTGTGGTGGAGAAGGTGCATTATTCCCATAAATGTGAGAGAGAGAGGGAACAGTAAGTATAAGTTACGTATGACCATGAGCACAGGATGAATCAACTTCCCATACTTTCTCACTACTATTTCCACAAAAGACCAAGGTTCAGATAAATGACAGGAAGAGAGCCTGGCATTTCCTTGTTCGGATATGTTTATCATGTTTATCACACCGACGGCCTTTATGCATACATATACTATAAACTAAAAATAAGCTTTGGCCTTTCTTGATTGTAATGTGTGCACACAATCACAGGAAACTTTAATATGAGTGCATACTAAAAGCAGGAAGTTTGTTGTGCCAAACAATCGTTCTATGGAGTCTTTCCTGGAGTTTATGGACACACACACACACACACACACACACACATACACACACCACACACACACACCACACACACACACACACACACACACACACACACACACACACACACATACACACACACACATACACACACACACACACGCACACACACACACACGCACACACACACAAACACAGGAACGCAACCAGGTGTTTGGACATCAGAGAGGTACACGTACGTACGTACGTATTTTCGGGGAAATGTCGTCTCAGGATGGTGGGGGGTGTTTCAGGTATTTACTCCCTCGTCCTCCTCGCTCGCTGAAGAACGCGGTGGCAGCCGTATTTCGTAACAGCACCGTACGTATGTATGTATATACACTATCTCCACTCCACCTCCCCACAAGAAGCAGTATGCAGTCGGACAAAGGTCTCTCGTGACCGCACACTTGTACCTCTGATTACCTCTACACGACGTGTTTTACCCCACACGCACGAACACCTGCAGTGGGACACTCTGACCTATGACGTAATGTTCCAACCTCATTACATCGCGCCTTTCAAGTACACCTCCCATGTCATACCACGCTAATACAAGACACCACATTCCGTTCCCGTTGCCTCGGCGATCGACATTCACTATTACGTCATCGCATTTCACGGCACACCTTCGGAAGAAGAGAAAGCGAGGAGGTGGGGGGTTGGGGGGAGGATAATCAGTCGCAAAGACAATGCATGTTTCTCGCTAACTCGGAGCCAGGGGAGGGAAGGCAGCAAGGAGTCGGCTACAAGACAGCTGCTTTGGGGCCCGGCACATTCCTCCAGTAATAGAGAAGCTGGGAGAGAGGCCAAGGCAGGTGGACAAGATGAGGGTATGTCACAACCCTTCCCTGATTAACCACCTTGCATGGTGTAATTTGGACACCGTCTCCCACCTCTTGCGACTAGCAACCTCCCTCCAGCCTACTGTCGCATGCTTTTTTGCTTTTTCTATTTCTCCCCAGCCCCCTTTCTATTTCCCCTCTCCCTCTTCCTTTTCCAAACTCTCCTCTCTCCTGTTCTCTCTCTCCTCCTTTCTCTGCCCTCTTCTCCCCCTTTCCTTCTTCCTTTGCGTTTCTCCTTCCTTCCACAATTTGCTCCTTGCCTATCAGAACACTATATTCAGTCTATAGATACATACCACATCTATACATGTACATGAACAAAACTCCCTATCATAGCCCCATACATCTATGATGCTAGGTACCGTGCCCATTCCTATATATACTAAGTGCTACCGTACTTAGTGATACGCGGCCGTGTGGTATTCTCCCTATTCAATTCACCATTCAACTCTACATGAGTCTACCTGACATTCATCAAGGGACCACAGACACGATGCGTCTCCTCCCATTTCCAGTAAGGCAGTTCCGCCTGGCTGGCCCCAAGCCTGCCTTGTCAATGACAGACACACTAGCTCCTTTTTTACTCACCCCCACTCATACAAGCATGCAACGCCCATTGACACCACGCTATATATGCCGACTCCCGTCCACGTGTATAATCCCCACACTTACGTGCTCGTATATGCACATAAACACACACAAACAAACTCTGCTGGTTTATTAGTGCCTTATATATCACCACTGTAGCCCCAACAACCATTTAATGTAGGTAGATCAGCCGCCACAAGAAGGTAATTGTAATCACGCATCTGTTGGGAAAACCACAAGTGTTGCGTATGTTCTTATATCCCTCTCTCTCACAGAGTGGTACCTTGGCTCGTATCGTATCAACACAGCACGATTCGAAGCAGCTGCGACATACGGCGCAGTACCGTGGGCTTGCGCAGAGATGTGTACATCTGCGCAATTATTGGCCATATACACTCTTGGATAGGAGGGTCCCAGTGTTGACTAAACTGTTACGGCACACGCAAACAAAATATTGACCACTAGGAGTGGTCGTTGCCTTAAGAGCAGCGAGGGAAAGAACCAAATAGAGTTCTCCCTACATATAAATCATACATACATAGGATTGTGACCATGTCGGGTCAAAAGTGATTAAAACACAAACTAATAATGTTGAATTTCATCACAATGTTACAATCTCTCTACCTCAGCTTATTGCATATTATAATATTTGGACTTGAAATTTTGCATTACGTGAAAAACGTCGTACGCGCAATAAAACAAGGAATTACAAAATGTTAAGTTTTCCCTCCCTTTTGAAAAACGGTAACAGTCTAGCCACGAGACCAGTTCCTGGTTTTTTTGAGAGGAAAGAAAGATGCTCACCGAGAATGACGGCTGCAACGGTGTAGTAGGCGAGGAGAAAGGAGGTGGAGAGAGAGCCCCTGAATGTGGGGCTGAGGGCAGCTGCCTCCAGTTGCTGCAGACCTTTTTCCCGCTCTCCAGAGAACCCGATGAACTCCAGTAGCTTCATCACCTTCGCCGGCAGGACGGAGAGAAACTGTGAGATTGTTTTAGTGGGGAATGGGAGGGATGGTGGAAGGGAGGGAGGAAGATGAAGGAGAAGAATAGGAAGAGAGAGAGAGAGAGAGAGAGGAGGGAGTGTTAGGGTTTTCCGAACAAGAAGTGTAGGTTGCCCTGCGTTATTTCAGTGTGTATGAGTTGGAAGAAGAACGATCGCGCTCCGTGTTAATGTTACACCGTGTAATGCAACAATCACACCGCGTAACAACACATACATACTTCTTCCTTTGAAAAAAAAAAGAGTTGTCGTTTTGCTTTGCCTTTGCCTCGAGACCTAGTTGTTGACACGTACAACAAATGTCTGGAATACCAGCTATAGTCAAGGTATTGAGGATGGTCAATCGATGATGGCTACATACTTCTGCATGTGGTGGGTGTTGTTGTTGTTTGCTAGTTTTGTAAGAGAGAGAGACAGGTGTGGATCTCGGTCGGGGAATTCGACCACCATATGGCATGTGAGGCACTCAGGGGGACACCCAAATAGTCAACCAGGCATGCAAATCTCTTCAACCTACAGCCCCTCCCTCCCCAGAAGGCAGGGTGTGTGTGGCCAACAATTCACACCTCACGGACAACCGTGACTCTGCCCCGATACCTTTCGCAGAACAATCTGCCAAAACGGTTCCTCCCTGTTTCGAGAATGGAATCAACTTAATCGCCAACAGGTGCAGTTTCGGACCCCACAAACGCAGTGTGCGTGATGTTTCATAACTTGTCTTGCTAAGGCAAAAGAAGGATCTCCAGGGAATAACAAGTGGAAGTAGTATCGAGGTTTGAGCCGCCCGTAATTTTTTTCAGGGTAGGGTGAAATTTTGTACAGCTATCTTGGATTGAAATGCTCCCTCCTTTGAAAAATTCCAGGTAAAAATGGGATAAATAAATGAGCAGTTTCCACCTTCAGCTCTTTATTTTTCCTTAGCTGACCTAGGTGTAGTTGATTTGTTTGTTGTGCCTTTGCCTTTCTACCTCATAGTTTTCACATGCATGACCTAATGTACAGCAGCGTCCAAGGTGTAGGCAAAGTTAGTGCAAAAATGGTAGCACGTTGTGGCGGGTCGGGGATGATGTCATTCATTGCCTAGCAAATGGGGGAAATCCCTACATGTAACCCACATCCTGGAGGTATGTCCATGCCATTCCCATGAGAGGTTGCGAGGCGAAACGCAGAGCAGCTGCTTTCCCACAGCCCCTCCCGCCAAAACCAAACTCTACAATGATACTGCGTGTGATTCAGGGACCCATTGACCCACTAATCAGACAAGAGTAATACCGTGTGACTTGAAAACTGACTCGCTTTGACGCGAGGTCGCGATTCTGGGTCAATTGTCATGGAAATAATCAGTGTTGGGCCTACACTACCTGGGATCGTATGGCTTTGCGCTTACTCTGAGGTTCCCACTGGCTAGAATTACTTATCGGGTTAACGCAGGGGGGGGGGCACAAGGAGTGAGAAAACGAGCAGATCCCACGAGCATTAATACCACAGAAGCCAAACTGTACCCAAAACACACACACACTCACTCCTATTAGTCCGCCTCAGGCTTCCCATAGTCACGTATTAAACCCCATCATTTGTACCTTCTCACAGAGAAAATGGGTACGTGGCATCGCGGTGGCCCATACTAGGACGCTAAACGAGACACCTGGCCTTATTCTAGACTATCTACCACTACAGCGCTAGTGGAAACACTATAGGAATGATTCATGGGAAGTTATGACACATCGCAATCACTATTATCGTAGTGGTATGTTGTTTATCGACAAAACTGGTACATTTCTTTTTCCTTTTTTGAGCAAAGCCTCATACTACATTGTACTCGGTTGGGATCGTGATTAACCCCCAAACTGCCACTAACCCAGAGTGATATCGCTCATTGGAATGTAAGTGTCTGCGTCACATATGGCTATCAGGTCAAAATCTCATAGTGGTCGATTGGTACAACAGTCTGGATTGACGATAATATGGGTATTGCAACTGCGGTAAGGATCTTGTGGAACAATCACAAGTATAGACGATTATTGGGTTTTAGCTAAAGCAGGGATACAGGGAATGTTTAATACCCTGATTCCCCCTGGTTCACTGAATGCCTAATGGTCACGGTATGGTATTGTTAGGCTTTCAAGGTTGAACAAGTAAAGTTGAAAGAGATCAGATGCATGCTCCCTCCCCTCCCCTACATACGTGTAGCTAAAGTTGAGACGCATGCTCCCTCCCCTCCCCTACATACGTGTAGCTAAAGTTGAGACGCATGCTCCCTCCCCTCCCCTACATACGTGTAGCTAAAGTTGAGACGCATGCTCCCTCCCCTCCCCTACATACGTGTAGCTAAAACCAACACACACACACACCAGGTTGAATGTGCCCATTCCCATTCTGATTCCAGCTGCAGAATTTGGTTCCATTTCCACCCCTTCCTCCTCGCAAGTCTCCAGCCACTGATACAGCTGTCTTATGAAGCGGAGGAGGTGAGAGAGAAGAGAGAGATCAAAGAGAGAGATAAAATGCAGTAATTGATGTGGGACAACGAAAGTCACACAGATATGAGGTTGCTGCATTATATCACCCCTGACAACCATGACATCACCCACCACCATACTATGGATACCAAAGTCAACTGACAGGAGCCCCTGGAAGGTCATCTGAATAAGGAGATAATCACCTGGAATCATCACCCACCACAGCTGTGCCTACCTACAGCTAGACAGCTTGTCTGGAGATAGGGCTTTGCTGTAGTAGTAAGTAAGCCCTTGGGTGGGTCTTCTTGGCTTCAGTCCTTTCTTCCGCTCTTTCCCTTCAGATCTCTCTCTCTCTTCTCTCCTTCCTTTCCCCTCCCTCCCCCTCCCCTCCCTTCTCTCTTCTCTCCTTCCTTTCCCTTCCAGCTCTCTCTTTTCTCCTTCCCTCTCCCTATAATTCCCCTCGGGCTAGGCTCACAATATTTCGCATTGCCCCGCTGTGCCGCTTTGCCGTGTCACGAGGATAGAATCCATTTCTATCTTCGCGGCAGGACACGACGCGGCACAGCTCGATGGGGCAATGCGACATATTGTGAACCTAGCCACATTCCCTCTCTCTCTTCTCTCTCTCTCTTCAATCCTTCCCTCTCTCTCTCTCTCCTCTCTCTCCCTCTTTCTTCGCTCCTTCTCCCTCTCTCTCTTCTCTCTCTCTCTCCCCTCTATCTCTTTCTCTCTTTCTGCTCCTTAGACCACACACGAAAGTACACTGAATTAGAACTCTCACAAACCGACCACTTCAAGGCATAAATATTACGGTGTCTGCAATTTGGAGTACAAAAAAGCTCATGCATTACCCTAATTTCAATTCCTTCCTCCCACTCCCTCCCTTTAGCGCATTGATTGGTTTTAATTCACACTGAGCTGCCACTCTAGTGAAGGATGGCGTGTATGGGATATATATGGAGCAAAGGATTTAAATGCACGAAGTATGGAATTTCATTAAGAGGTTCAATTTGGACGCTAATTGCAGGGATAGTGGTACTCTGCGGCGGTTGTTTAAATGCAACTTACTTGTAGAGCGAGTAGGAGCTTCTTATCCTTAGACCACCTCTCACGAAGCTTACGAAACCCTCGTCCTAAACAAAAACAGTTTGGCCTTCAACAACTATACAGCCTTCGCCTGATCCCAGGCCTTCCCAGCTACATGCATAGTAACACAGCTTCGTTTGTGCACATTAAACCAATGTGTAGCATTGAGTGGATGCACGACAGTTAAAAAGTGCCGTGTTAACTGCATGCAATTGCAATAGCTAGAGTAAAAATCACTGCATAACGTACATACAGGCTACTTACACACCATACACTATAGCTCTGTCTATGAGGGAGTTTAGAGGCAAGGAGAATGCAATAGCTAGAGTAAAAATCACTACGTACATACAGGCTACTTACACACCATACACTAATAGCTCTGTATGTATTATATGGTAGGGAAGGAGAATGTTCCACAAACAACCCAACTAGTAGCACTAAAGGACGACAATTCTCTGAAAGACCATCAGTCTACTATGGTTCCCACACTATTAATGGTCTATCTCATCTGTAGTAAATTTGATATGCATGTCTGTAGTGATTCCGAGGCTAGCAAAGTGACGATGACGTCATGGTGCATCCTGGGAGTTGTGGATACGGGAATTCCCCCCTACCTGAAGAAAGGTGATGATAGAGAGTAGGAGATTGCTCTCTGCAAACAGAACCTCCGCTTGTACCTCGGCTTTGGTTAGGAGGATGAGGAGGGGAGAGGAGGGAGGATGAGGAGGGAGAGAGGAGGGAGGGAGGGAGGATGAGGAGGGAGAGGAGGGAGGGAGGATAGCATTGCAGTACACACAATGAAACACCTGGAGGATCTCTCAATTAGGACACTTGTTCCACCCCATATTTCCCATAGTCACTGTGTATACAGATACAGCGTACGGACATACCAGGTGTGTATGTTTCCATTCTGGAACCAAATACCCAGGATGAGACCATCTCCACCACACCCTGTGTCTTCCTATGACTGGGATAGATAGTGGAAGGAAGACAGACTTTTACCCCTACTTCTCTGTCTGTCTGTCTCTCTCTTTTACAATGTCATAGAACGAATGGAACGCCATGCATTACGGTATGGACAGCACCATTACACAATGAAAACATTTTCAATTCAGACCACTAGGTTTGCTCGCTTCAATCGCCAATTATACACATACCCTCACCTGTTGCAGAGGGCCACTGTACCATTCAATGCTTGTAGTGCCTTCTCTATTGCATCCTGCATGTACATACATACATACATACATAGCATGAACGACAGGGTTTTGGTGCAAGGAATAAATAAACAACACAAAGTACCTGCTCCATGCTGAAAACTGCCTGCAGGAATAGTATGGTAGAGTTGGCAAGACTGTGGTACATGCTTCTGTGGATCCTGGAGGAAGAGAAGGCGGGTGAAGGGTGGGTGAGAGACGAGAGAGTGAGAAATCAAGAGTGGGGTAACACTCAGTAAAGGACACTTAAAAAGGACACATCTCTATAAAGGACACTTGTTTCAATCCAATGCCAATACTTTCGTGTATTCTTTGAACAAAGGACAATTTTCACGGTCCCAGCATGTCCTTTATGATGGTATATATGAGTAGAAAAAACTAGTAAGTACACTTACCATGGTTTTAGCATCTCTTCAGCCTCAGTGAATTTGTTGCTGTTCATGAGATCAATGCCAGCCTGAGCTGCTTCTATGCCAGTTTGAGTATCCACCATTTCCTTACTAGAGGAGAGAGGAGATAGAGGAGGGGGAGGAGGGGGAAGCGAGGAGAGGAAGAGGAAGAAGAAAGACGAGAGAGAACTAAACTAAACTAAGAACCGCAAAGCCACTGACACTATTCAGCTATACATCAAATGAACTACTAGTTCGGAGTCACTTATAAACGTTGCGGTGGTCGTGCCCGGTGCAGGCTCAGCCCTAGGTACACGATCATGACTATGCAGGTTGACGGCTCGAGATGTTTGGGAACATAACCCGGACCATTACCATCGGCCACGCGACCATCACAAACTGACTCGACGCTGTTCGGAGGATGAATATTGGCAAAATATTGAGGCATGACAGCCTGACTAAGACGAAGACCATTGCAGTTCAACCATCTCCATACCCTACTGTATGAAAATACGCACATGGACACAAACATACATCATAAACAGTGCATATGTGTAAACTTTACTCGGTCGAATCCAAAGACGGTGTTGAAGAATTGAAGTCTCGAACCTTTAGTAAATTCATTGAGGCAGTGTGTGAGAATAGACGCATTCATAAAACATTACCTGCCTCTCTGGTTTGACTGAAGCTACACCACGTGATCTTTCATTTGAATCACGTGATTCTGTGATGAAGTACCCTCCTCTCTACTTGCCATGACCTATACACACATGACAAAAGGGAAGCATTAGGAGACACTCTAGACGGAATTGGTTCGATGATTTAACAGCTTTACGGACATAATGGGACGTAGGTATGAACTTACTACCCCAATGTGTACCTGGGGAGGCTTCGGCAGGCAGGAAAAGTCTATCACACAGCTGTCCCTCTGTCTTGGGGGCGCGTCAAATTGAGCGCATGCGCAGTTTTATAGGGGGCGTGGTTTACCATCATCCACGTGTTGAGTTCAAAGGTCACAACCAGAGGAGAAGATGTCGAGAGTAATCGTGAAGAATTTGCCTCTCAAGGCGACGGAGAAGACGCTGTCCGAGCTGTTTGCCCAGTGTGGGGAGGTAACAGATGCCAGACTCATCAGGACGCAGACGGGCCTCTCGCGAAAGGTCGGGTTTGTGGGTCTCGCAAGCGACTCGCAGGCCCAGCGAGCCGTAGAGACGTTTGACCGCTCATTTATCGGCTCCGCCAGGATCTCGGTGGAGGTGGCCAAGCCGTACGGAGACGAATCCCTCCAGAGGCCTTGGAGCAAGTACTCTAGAGGGAGCTCTGCATTCGCTAAAAGAGACAGCGAGAAAAAGAACAGAGAGCGAGAGAAAGGGGACGACGTAGGAGAGAAAGACAATGTGAAATCTGGAAAACAAAAGAAATCGGTGGCGATATCCGAGTTGTGTGATATCGAAGAGGAGGAAGAGTTTCAGGAGTTTCTGTCGGTTCACACGCACAAGAGTCAAGTTAGAACGTGGGCTGATGGCAGTACGGAAACCAGTGGGAAGAAAGACAAAAGAAAGACAAGCAAGAGAAGGGTGGGAGGAGAAGAAGGAGAGGTGGGTGAAGAGATGGAGACAGAGGATGGAAAGCAGCGGCGAAAGATATCTAAACTGGGAATGAAAGTAGAAAGGTAAAGGTACTTGACTGTAGTCAGACACATGATGGATCAGCTGGGGAGAGTGCATGTGAGGAAGATATGGAGGACAGAGAAGCGAGGAAGAGGGGATGGAGGGGGAAGGAGAGGAGGAAGAGGAGGAAGGGGGAGGAGGAGGGGGAAAGGGAGAGGGGGAAGATAAGGGGTGTTCACAGCAGAGAAATGGGGTCGAACATAGTGGCAACCACTGAAAATATGACAGATTTAGACTACCTGCGATCTAAAGTTGTAACAGAACTAACACCAGCCTCTGATGATGACAGTGAAATGGCCAGTGATGATGGTGCTCCATCAGAGAGCACAGACAGTGGTGACGAAGAGAGTGAGTCAAACAAAGAGGAAGCCCCTACTAACCAGAGCCTAAACAAGTTTTCTTCAACGCTCTTCACCCTCCGCATGAGAGGTCTACCGTTCAAGTCCAAGAGAGAAGACGTAGAGACATTTTTCCATCCCTTGGCCCTTGCTGACGTTCGTTTTACAGTTGACAAAGATGGTCGTCCTTCTGGTAGAGCCTACGTCGACTTTAACTCTGAGGAAGACATGAACGAGGCTCTGAAAAGAAACGGAGATTGCATTGGTAAACGATACATTGAACTATTTCGCGACGAAGGGCCCCAGAGCTTCAGACGTGAGGTTGAGTCTGAGAAAAAGAGGGAATTTGGTGGCAGAGGAAACGAAGAAGAAGAAGAAGAAGACGAAACTATCGCTGATTCCGGAAGATTGTTTCTCAGAAATCTCTCCTTCACAGTCAAAGAAGATGATTTGATGGAAACCTTTGAGCAGTTCGGCCCGCTCACCGAGGTCACGGTACCGCTGGACAAGACCACCAACAGACCGACTGGACTGGGATTTGTCACATTCATGCTCCCTGAACACGCGGTGAGGGCGTACGAGGCATTGGACGGCCAGGTGTATCAGGGGCGACTGCTGCACATACTGCCTGGTAGACAGCGCCGGGGGAGGCACCAGGCGAGGGAAGAGATCGAGGAGAGTAAAAGTGGGAGCTCTTTCAAGAAGAAGAAAGAGCGGGAGCAGAAGTCGCAGTCGGGGAGCGGTCATAACTGGAACGCTCTGTTCCTGGGAGCAAATTCGGTGGTCGACGCCATGTCGCGGCGCTATTCCACGCCAAAGAGCAGCATTCTGGACCCAGAGTCTGAGAGCTCTGCTGCGGTGAGAATGGCTCTCGGGGAGACGCAGCTTGTGAGCGAAACAAGAGAGTTTCTCGAAGCAGAGGGGGTGCAACTGGACGTCTTTGAGAAGAAAAACCCGAAAAGAAGTTCGACGGTTATTCTCGTGAAAAACCTTCCCCACGGTACAAAACAGAGCGAACTGCAAGAACTCTTCTCGCCTTTTGGATCTCTACACAAAGTCATTCTTCCGCCGGCCGGAATTTCGCACTCGTTGAGTTTTTAGAGTCGTCACATGCAAAGGCGGCGTTCAAGAGGCTGGCTTACTCAAAGTTTAAACATCTTCCACTTTACCTCGAATGGGCCCCTGTGGGAGCTATGGGGGAGAAGAAGAGGAAGAAGAAAGAGAAGGGAGCAGTTGGAGAAGGGGTGGAGGGTGAGAGTGGTGAGGTTGGTGATGGAAAGAGGAGAAGAAGGGTGAACAGAGAGAGGAGGAGGAAAACGGAGGGGGAGGTGGGGAGGGGTGTACGCTGTTTGTGAAAAACTTAAACTTCTCTTCGAACGAAGAAGGCCTGAGGAACGTGTTTGCTAGAGTCGAGGGACTCACAAAAGTAGAAATCGCTCGCAAGAGAAACACGAAGGACCCTTCCCAACTTCTGTCTATGGGGTTTGGCTTCGCGGAGTTTCAACACCAGAGCAGGCTCAGCAGGCACTCAAAGACTACCAGCACAGAGAGCTTGACGGGCACAAACTCGAGCTAAAAGTCTCCCACAGAACAAATTTGGCAACTGGAGACGATAGCGGTAGGAAATCGGCCAAGAAAAGAGAGCAGGAATCGGCCAAGATAATGGTTCGCAACATTCCCTTCGAGGCCTCTCAGAAAGAAGTTCGAGAGTTGTTCCAGGCTTTCGTCAGCTGAAAACTGTTCGTCTACCAAAGAAAATGGCGTCCATGGGCAGACACAGGGGTTTCGGGTTCGTGGAGTTTATGACAAAGGAGGACGCGAGGCGAGCGTTTGAATCGCTGTGCTACAGCACTCATCTCTACGGTCGCAGACTCGTGCTGGAGTGGGCCGAGGGAGACGAAAGTGTGGACGACATTCGGAAGAGAACTGCAGACCATTTCCACGGCCTCCGGGGAGCAGCTGGCAACATTTCATCAAAACGACGGAAGGCAGAGTTTCTTCTCTATGGCAGCAGCAGAGAGAAGGACATTGACTGACTAATGTTGTCTAGTAATGTGTGCAAAAACGACCATGAATGTGAGGCTAGGCGCATGCGCATGATACTCGCTTCTATTTATACGTAATGTAGCGAGAAATTTTGCACTTTTTCTACACTTCTCGGTTTTCAAAAGCATGTCTACCCCGCTGACTCCAACCTCGGCCACACCAGTCAGCTACACCAGCGACGAACTGCACGACAGCCTAGTAAAATGGGTGAGCTCCACCTAGAGACCGCTAACTCTCTCAATCTCTCTTCTCGTGGCGTGAATTATCCTTGTTCTTCAGCTCCACAGCTGTTTGTCGCTGGGAGGGACTCAGTGCACGTTCGACGGGACGAGTCTGAGCGACGGGGTGATCATCTCCCGCTGTCTGAGCCAGCTAGCTCCGGCCACCTTCACCGCAGAGTGGAGCGAGAAGATCATCTATGTGACGGGTGGACACTGGAAGCTCAGGGTTAGTTCACTCGCTGGTGACAATGAGGAGAGGGGAGATAATCATTTTTTTGTTGGTGATGACTAGACTTGAACATGTAGCAGTGAATATAAGAACTTGTTAACCCTCATCCCCCCCACACATCTACATAAAGACTCCATAATTGACTCCCTAATGTTACTTCGCTCCCACTCTAGCTATTTTCAAGGTATTCAAGATGGTTGGTTGGTCTGTCCTTTCCCTCACTTGCTTGCTAAAAGTACTGTTTTTTACACTTTTACTGCGCCCTCTAGGTACAGTCAAGGTATTTAATATTGTTGGTTGCCCTGTCTTTTCCTCTACTTGCTTGCTAAAAGTACAAAAGTTTAGGCCACCCTTCAAGATTTCTGATTCGACACGTTAACCTGTATGTTGCATCAATGTATGGGACTATTACAAGGAGTTTAGTTGGACAGTAGCTTTCTGACTACTACACACATACATAGTGAGTTCTTTTTGATTGCTGTGTGTCTTGTGTGGTGCTGCAGCTGAACAACTTGAAGAAGATCAACAAAGGCATTCTGGACTACTACGACAATGTCCTCCACCTCTCGCTAGATTCCTTCAGTCACCCAGACCTCTCCCGCATCGGTCAGGTTCCAATTCTTCCGTACTCCCATTCCGCCATGTTTTCATTCACCTGTGCCCCCATTCCCCCGTTCCTCCTCCAGCTAATGAAGGAAGTAAGGCGGACATGGCTAGGCTTCTCCAACTGGTTCTTGGTATTGCTATCAACTGCGAGAGGAAGGAGAGTGAGTATTACTTACTCTCTCTCTCTTCCAATCATTAACTGTCACCCTCTCTCCTTGCTCCAGCATACATTCAGGACATTATGGCCATGCAAGAAGACTCCCAACATGTCATCATGGCTGCTATCCAAGAGGTCAGAGTTTAGTCAAAGTGCAAGCATCAAAACTCACTCTACTTTTACTCTACTTAGCAGGAAACTTAAGTTTCACGAATTCAACCATCCACCACAAATTTTCTCGACATTTTGTGGGTTGGGGCCTTTTGCAATATGTGAAATTTTCAACATAAAGCTTCTAAATCCCTTCAAATGAAGTTTCCAACTATACCTACAGTTGATATCGACCCAGTCTCCAAAGATGATAATGGGAGAGGCGTACAAGGAGCTGGAGGAGCAACACAAACACACGCTGCTAAAGCTGCAGGAGATTCAGGTCGAGAAGGAGCAGCTGCTGCAGTCGAGTCACGACGTCGTCGCACAGCTCCAGGCCGCCCAGCATGAGGGGGAGGAGCTAGGGGCGGAGCTTGAGAGGGTCAGGGAAGAGCTCGTCGCGGCCAAAAGCTCTGCAGGGTAAGTTCAGAGGTCAGAGCGTGTCGAGTGTGAACTCTGTACTGCGTCTCCCAGGGTAACGGGAGCCGCCAAACTACAGCAGGTGATGCGACAGTTGGAGGCTGTCAAATCTGACAACATTCGTCTCGAAACTGGTATTTTTGTGATTAGATACACACAGATTAATGCCTTCTTATTTTTATTTATTTTCAACTTGCCAGGTTAAGTGTAATAAACTACATTTTAACATTAATGTCCTGTGAAGTATTGAACATCGAAAATAGTTAATTCTGAGTTAAAGATCTGCACGGAATATCGTAATAGTAAATGGCGCGAGGTCATGTGTGGTGCAGCCATAGCACTGTGTCTGTGTTCCGTTCCAGAACGAGACGAGCTCAAGCACAGGGTCCAGGAACTGGACTCCCAGACCACCGACCTTCTCCAGAAGAACAGAGAGCTCCAGGTGGAGAATGAGGAGATATCCGTCCTGCGAGACTCCCTCGAGGAGATGAAATACATGGAGAGCAAAGTCGTGAGTCACATGACCTCTTGTGATAGTCACATGACTCAGTGTGTGAGGATAAAATGGCCTGAAGTGATGGACACATATTCGCATGATTATCACATGACCCCATGTATAGCTATAATGGTCCCTCATAATTATCTGTTCCAATTTCACTATTTTGTTATTTTTTATGCAGAAAAGCTATGAGAGTATGATCCATCAGTACAAGAAAAAGATAGGTAAAATTTTTATAAAACCTCATAAATTTGTGAATATTTTGTGTATTTTTGTAGAGGATGTTCAGGAAATGAAGAAACAGCTGAAGGCAATGAACGACAAGAACATGACGTACATGCAGCAAAACCTCGACCTGGAGGAGGTGTGGTCTCTGGTCATGTGATGATCATGTGACCCTCACATGACTGCAGGAGCTGCGGAGACTGAGTGGGCTGAGGAGTCAGATTGACATGCAGAAGGAGAGACAGCAGCAGTTGGAGAACGAACTGGCTCAGGAAAAACTTCGCTGCCTAGAGGTTTGTGTGGAATGTTTAAAAGGAGATCCAGCAAATCGAAAGATTAGAAGTTCGTTGGTATTACTGTTGGTTTGATCTCCAACTGAATTTGTAATGTTAAAGTAGTATCTTCCTGTAGTGATGTGGTATTGGTCTCTGCGTAGGTAACACAAGATGCTGAGGACACCCACCAAGTACTGGATGCTGTCAGAGTCGAACTTGCAGTGAGAAATACACTAGAGCAATCCTTTTCTCTGTGTGTTACTCGTCTAAATCCGGCCTTTTTTCATTCAGCAACTAAAACGAGAGAAAGAGATGCAAATCCCAGGCACTCCCACCGCATTAGGTAAAACATACCTCCACGTGACCCCCTGGATTGAATTTTGCCCCCCCCCTCAGCCCCCTCGCTAGCAGGCTGGAACATGGAGCCCCCTACCCCTGGATCACTGGACAACCCCGACCTGGGCTCCACTTTGAACGAAGTGTTCACTCCCGAAATGAGGGAAAAGATGGTGAGACTGGAGAAGGAGAATGAGATTCTGAGACGGAGACTAGCAGAGGGAGGGCCATCACCCGTGGAGGTGGGAGGAGGGGGAGGGGTGAGAACTGGTGTGCGAGGTGGTGGAGAAGGAGAAGAGAGTTTGTCTAGAGGGAGAGGAGGAGGAGGAGGGGAGCAGATGGTGGCAGTGCTACGGAAACAGTTGCAGGAGAAAGAGAAGAAGATATCTCAACTTCAGGCCGCAGCTCAGGAGAACAGTAAATATTCACCCTCTCATCATTTGTTATATACCTCTCTCCTTGTTCAACCCATCTGATCTTCTTTCTTCTGCTTCTTCTCCCTTACATACATACAGTACTTTCTCTCTCTTCCTTTGCTCCTCTGATTATGTTGTTGTTTCTCGCTCCCTCTCCTCCACTCTCTCCTCCCCCCAGAATCCCAACAGAAGCATGCAGTAGAGGAGGTCGAATGATAAAGAGAGGATGAAAAGTACAAAAGTACCTCAACAAGGCCAAGAAGATTATCGAAGGATTTGGAGAGGGAAATCACGAGCGGACGAAGACAGTCTAGAGTATTGATGCACTCACTGTACATTGCCCTGTGCACAATATTATTGTGTTATTTTTAGATTCAGAGCTTGAAGAGTCAGTTGAAAGACAAAGACAAACATATTGAAAGAATTGAGGTGAGTTCATTTGTGATGCCTTTTGTTTTCTCGGGTGCGTGCCTATGGCAACTGTTTAGTATATTTTCTTGCTTCTTTCTTTTTCAGAGGGATTACATGACAGACCGGTTGTCGTGGGAACGAGAGGAGAAACTAGTAGTGTCGGCCTGGTATGAAATGGTAGGTGGAGTTCCTTTTGAGCAAGTTTCACACACACACCACACACCTTTCACTCCCCCCTCTCTGTTCTATAGGGTCTCATGATGCACAGGAAGTATTCCCAGGAGCGACTTCTGGGACCGCACACCTCATTTCTCAGTCATCAGAGAGCCTCTCTCTATAGGAAACCTCTCTCAATCCACACCCCCCTCCCCCGCCTCCCAACCTCCCCCTCCTCCTCCACTGCCACGTGAGCCAGAGGAAAGGGAGTGAACAAAAACATTTATGAACTGTTTTCTCTGTGTCCAGGGAGTCATGAGCTGAAGATAAAACTGTTTAAACTTTTCACTGGTATATACTTATGTACCTTCTCATCATTTCGAACACCAAAAACTGTTTGACTCGTGCTGGGCATGCGCAAAGAGAGCGTGTACGTCGCACATACAGCAGCGCATGCGCGCGTCGGCCCCCGCATATACATATATACCCCCCAGCCTCGACGCTCGGCATACAGTTCGACACAGCCATGGATTTACGAACGTTCAAGGCAAAGTGGAGTTCCTCTGGGGTCTGTTACACTAGCTTTCTCGCCTGTTTCTCTATCATAGGTGGTACTCACTACTCGCTGGCCGTTGGTCTGCAGGCACTGGCAAAAGCCACAGGAGGCGGGGATGAAAGGTGTAGTCCGGAATATCCGAGCAATGTAAACGTTCTTCTGGATAGCAGTACTGCACCTTGGATTGCTCATGGAAACGGTTATGTAAGCTCTATAACTATAATGTCAGCATGCTATCATCTTTCAATTTCTAAAGTATTCTCCAGGATTAACTATGTGGAGCAATTCGGTTTCACTGTGTGACGATGTTCAGATGATATGAAGTTGGAAACTCATTTTATCTCCAAGATCTTCCGGCTTCCCGTCCATACCCAGTTAGAATATTCATAAACATAACATATTCCTTATGGAATGTCAGATGGAACACTGTGTTGGGATTTAGAGCTACAACCTACCGGCAAAAATTATATCATACACTGGAGAAGGTATATATGCAAACAATCATGTTCGAAACACCAAAGGGGCTTCCAGTGGTACCAAACAATTCTCTTTGATTCTGAGACATTTATTGGATTTAGGCTTGCACTAAAAGTGTTGAAGCCTGTGTGAATGTGTCCAGAGTGTTGGTCTATCAGTATGAATGTCCTGGTCATGACAGACTACCTACAAGAAACTCTCCGTCGACCTGCCACTCCAGCTCCTGTCTGTGGTTCAGTAATTGTCAGATCCGAGCATACTCGAATTCTGTGATGTTACTATCCCATACAAAACTCTTATGTGTACATCACAAGGAGTATGGCTCGTTTGTGAAGGTGGTGAAAATGAGTTCATATGTAAAGGTAAGTGCCACATTTTTTGCATAGTGTAGTGCCATTTTCCATTCCAGAAAGCAAGTCAAACTTGACAGACATGACATGCACATCCATCCCATCTTCCCCCACACCTTTTCCTGCTCCTGACCAGACATCAGTTATGGGAGGTAGTACAGCAGTTGAAGACTGTGGTTGTGAGCCGCCTACTGCTCTCCTGGCCATTGTGGTTGTTTTAATAGTAGCCATCCACACAACCCACAACCAACCCCCCAACCCAAAACAAACCCCACACCCCACCACCCCCCACCCCAACCCCAAAAAAACACACAAACCCCCCCACCCCCCCCCCCCCCCCACCACACCCCCAACAACCAAAACCCCAAACAAAAACACCAACCCCCCCAACCCAAAACACAAACAACACACACCCAACCACCACAAAAAAACAACCAAACCAAAAACCACCCAACCAACAACCACACAAACACCACCAAAAAAAAACAAAAAACAAAAAACAAAAACACCCAAACAACCCACCCCACAAACAAAAAAACCACAACCAACAACCACCACAAACACTGGTCGATATGATTCTCATTGTAGTTTGCTAGAACAAACGGAAGTTGAAACCAAGTCCAAACAAGAGGTAAAGAATATAAACTACTATATGTGTACCATGTTGTTGGCTTATTCATGAATAATGGACACATTGGGACCAAGCATTTTGTCCTTTAAAGGGAGGTTGTCAGGTTAAAATGAAATTACATTGCGGAACCACAAAGACTGGTGTCCTTCACTACAGAGATGTAGCTGTATTTTTATGTTGCTATCGAATGCCCTATTGTGTTGGAATCGGGAGTAGTCCTTTAGTATCGACGATAGTTTTACTGTTATATATAGCCAGTGCTACTACTGATGATCGCAGTCACTGCAGAGAATGTGGCGTATGAGACGCCAGTCACCCCACTGCCTGCAACCCAGCCGATGAGTCGGTGCGAGACAGGGACCTGGCCATTTCCGGTTCCTCTGCCACTAACGCCAGCAACATGGACTATAATATAGCTTGTCAACTGACGATTGAACATGACTGTAGTGTAACCCAGCCGCCCATTACTGCGAGTAGCGGCTACACTATCAACTAAGAAAAAATATGATGAGTGCATGATAATTATCAGTCCATTTGGTTGAGTCCTATGGTCACATGTGTCTGTCCGAATGGAAACTAAAACTTAAACTTATTCAGTAATTGTGTTGAGGTAGCACCGCCACCTGTATAAGATGTTCCTCCAGCAGCAGTGTTCTCCATGCCAGTCCAGTCCCAGCCATGATGCCTCCAACACTGCGCTCGTGTGTCTGCCAGAATGGGCAGGAATAGACCTGTCCTAGACAGAAACACAACTGAAGATCACACACTCAATCAACATGGACATGATCGTAAGAGAGTTTCATCCACGTCACCCACGTAAGAAAGCAGCAGAAGATAACTAGTAGTTGTCCACAGAATTGAAACGACAGCCAATAACATCTTATGATCGCTGTGCAGCGTGGCATTCTCCATATTGGACACACTCACCAGCACAACATGCCCATCTATATGTGTCTAGTAAAAGATCATCAGTCCTTGAAAGTGAAGTTGCCACTGATTCACATAAAGGGACATCTCTGGTGGGTTCTTACCATTGCTTGTGAATGCGCATGGATATCACAACGCCCTCCTTTCACTAATTTCCTGAATTGTAGTGTTGACTAAATGTCCAGACATAATTATGACGAATTTGTGGTGGCCTAGCTGTCTGCACGTTGTTTTTTGCGACAGCTGTAACGCTAGTACAACGTGCGCGCTGCTGCATAATGCTGAGTGCGATTTGCAGCAAATCGTGCTAGCTCCGTTCCGTTCGTACGGACGTTCGCAACACCAGGACTGCTATGACTGGTCTACTGTTCCTACTATCTACTACTGGGACAGTCCGAGTGGCAGCAGCTTCAGGAGATGAGGATGAGAGATGTCCAGTTCCAGAGTATCCAGTCATGTCAAAGTTCTGATGGATAGCTGGAGATACCACACACTGATAGCAGCGGCGGCAGACCCTGGACTACAACTACTACTGAGAGACGCCGAATGATGCCAAATGGAGCCAATGACGGTAGCTAGCTCAAAGACTACTAATAATACACTATTGCAGTTTTGCTACTGCACCTACAGTAGTCTTCTAAAGAATCTGCAAAGGTGGCTCAGTCTCATTGTGTTCTGGAGGTCCAGAAGGAAAATGGCTACAATCTCAGTTCATTCAATAAGACTCTCCAGTCTCCTAATACATACCCAGTCAGAATATTTGTGAACATACATATTCCTTCATGACTTGTGACCGACCGAAATTTGATGATAATTTGAGCTGCTACTTGCAACTTCTATCCCAATGGCACAAGGCTTTCATATGGTGAAGGTGGTATATATGCCAGACAATTAATTGTTAGTGAGACTTCAAGTGGTACCAAATAGTTCTTCTTTGACTAGTATAACACATGCAGTGTGCTGGACTTTAGTGTTGAGCCTGTGTGACCGATGTCCAGAGTGTGTTGGTCTATCGTTATGAATGTCCGGGGCATGACAGACTGTCACTGGTCTTGAACGCCGACCGCAACTCTCAGGATCTGTCAATGATCAGTGTCTGTCACTTCACACTGTGCAGAGTACTCAACAAGGCAAGAGAGCTTATCGAGGATTTGAGCGAGGGATAATCGTTAACGTGAGCCGCCGCAGACCGTTCAGACGTATTGATGCACTCACATGTTTGTACTTATGTGCCCTGTGACAATGATATATATATTGTGATTATTGTTAGATTTGGTTGTGTTTCGAGCTGACAGAGTCAGTTGACAGACAAAGACACACATATGAAAGACTGGAGTGAGTTCATTTGTGATGCCTTTGTTGTGCGGGTGCGTGGCCGATGGCGACGTGTTTTAGTATATTATTTTCGCCATTGTTTTGCTCAGAATGGATGGACATGACAGACCGTCGTGTGACAAGAGAGGATGAAACGTAGGAGTGTCGGCCTATCGGATGAAAGGGTATGGTGGACGATCTTTTGAGCACAGTTGCACACGCACACGCACACACACTTGTCGCTCATCTGTGTCTCTAGGGTCTCCTGATGACAGGAAGTATTCCTAGGAGCGACTGCTGGGACCTCACACAGTGCAGTGATCAGTCATCAGAGAGCCTCTCCTGATAGGGAATACCTCTCTCGATCCACACCCCTCCAGCAACTGTCCCAACTCCCCTCCCTGCCTCCATGCCACGGGAGCAGAGAGAACGGGAGAGGGAACAAAAACTTATGACATGTGTTTCGCTGTGTCATAGGGAGTCTGACGATCCTGAAGAATTGAGATAAAAATTGTTTCACTTGACTCTGTCCTTCTTCGAACACCAAAAACGTTTGATCGTGCTGGGCATGCGAAAATGGGGTGTAATAACGCATGTCCCCCCCCCCCCCCCCCCACTGCCCCCCGCCCGGGCCCCGAGCCCTGCGCAGCGCCTAGAGCCGCTGCGGAGTTATGAGTACGCACGGAGATATTTTCGACCCCCGCCATGGATTCGAAACGTCAGCAAGTGGAGTTCCCTCTGGGGCTTTACTAAGCTTTCCGCTTGGTTTCTCTGTCAATACGGGGTCCGCTACTGTGGCGTTGGTTGCCAGCAATGGACAAAGCACCGGCTGGCGGGGCTGAAGGTGTTGTAGTCCGGCATATCCGATCAATGGAAGTTTCTTGGATAGCAGTCTATGCGATTCTTGGCTGCTTCTGGCCCGTGTATGTAAGCTCTCAACTACTGTCCGCTAGCATCATTTTCACTTTTCATCAGGCGTAATACACTAATACTGGTGGCTGCAATTGCGGTTTCACTGTGTGGGACGATGTTGCAGAGATATGGCAGGTGGCAACTCATGTGTCCACGTATTTACCGATCTCCGTTAGCATATTTTCCGAAGTCTACCATATTCCTTATGGACGTAGAGGAACACTGTGTGGGGTTGAGAGCTAAAACCTACCGGACCGAGAAAAATATCACTTCTCCACTGGAGAAGGTTACGTGCCAAACCCATTGTTGACATCATCAAGGGAGTGTCCAGTGGTACCACCAATCTTCGTGATTCTGAGAATTATGGTGTAGGCTGCTAAAAAAGTGTTGCAGCTGTTGTGAATGTGTCGGTGGTGTTTTCATTATTGAATGT